GCCCCAGTTTCCTCCTCTGTCAAGTGGGGATAGTCCCAGAACCTTCCTCGTGGGATTACTGTGAGGTTTAAATGAGGTAAGGCAGGTAAAGCACTTCGCACAGGGCCTGGCACATTCCTGCTGAATTGTCATCTCTCTGTGGTTCCGTTTCCTCATCTGTGAAATGGAATAATAATAGAATCTGCCTCACTGGGCTGACTTATTCAGTGACATAATGCACACATAGTGTTTGGAACCGTGCCTGGCACGTAGTGAGTGCTCAGTACGTGTTTGCTGTTACACACTGTATACCAGACTGTACTGGAGGTGGGTCAGCCAGTATTACAGAAGGGCTTTGACCGTGTATACACTGTGCAGAGCTCCTAGCTCAGTGCACTGCTCCATCTCCAGTGCCCAGGGCAGTGCCTGGCACCCAGCGGATGCCTAATACATATTTGTTGAATGAATGAATATTAAGTGTCCTTAGAAGAGATAGGCTGGTTTCTGGGAAAGGGTAGAAGGTTTTAGAGGTGTTTGGAGTGTGGCGGGTAAGCAGGTTTACGGGGTGACCAAGAGGTCAGGGAGGCAGGCCCTAGAAAGTTTACGGGAGCATCGCTAAGGTGCTGAGATTATATGATGGGGAAGGAGGCTGGGGAGCAAACCAAATTTATAGACTAGACCGGAGTTGAGTGTGGGCAAGGGGGTCATGTGAATGGAGCCAGGTTGGTGGGGGAGCCCGTGGATTGTTAAGGAAAGAGGGAACCAAATGAAAGATGTTGTAAGACCCTGATGTAGGAATGTTGGGTGACAGTGTCATAGCTGGGCCAGGGAAGTGGGTGGGCTTTGGTCTCACTGTGGAGCTAGATTTGGGATGTGGTTGGTGGTTTGGATCAGGTGAAGGATGGCTGAGGTTTCTGTGGTTACTGGGGGGACTGAGAGGTAAGGGGAAAAGTTAGGGGCTAACTAGGGAGATGAAGAGTAGTTGTGGCTGGGGAAGGAGTTAGAAAAGTGGAGGACAATTCATTGTGGTTTTTTTTTTTTAAACATTTTTTTTTTTAATTTTATTGATTTATTTTTTTTCCCGCAAAGCCCCAGTAGATAGTTGTATGTCATAGCTGCACATCCTTCTAGTTGCTGTATGTAGGACGCAGCCTCAGCATGGCCGGAGAAGCGGTGCGTCGGTGCGCGCCCGGGATCCGAACCCCGGGCCGCCAGCAGCGGAGCGCACGCACTTAACCCCTAAGCCATGGAGCTAGCCCCATTGTGGTTTGAATGAAAGGAAACCAGACAAGCTGTGTAGACTTGCTCTTGGAGATGGCGTCTATCTTGCCCCAGGGCCCTGAGGCCTATGCCTTTTCAGGATTTGCTTTCAGCCCTGGCCTCGGTTCTGAGGGGCTGGCACCAGCGTGATTTCTCTCCTTTTGAAGTTGAAGTCAGTTCACCGAAAGGTCAGGGGTCCCTATCCCTCTACAAGACATCTAGGGCCTGTGCGTCGATATCCAAAAATGAAAAGCATAAACTCTGCACGAAAATGCAGCTTATTGGCTTTTCTCCCCTGTGAAACCCAGGGGATGGTTTTGGCCCCCTTTCTCACAGTACATTTTGCATGGGGTATAGATTTTTCACTCAGAAAGCAGGTGTGCGAGAAGACTCACTGGGTCAAGATGGATGTGGTCTGGCTCCTAGTTCAGTCTGAGCATGTAGGACCACGTTGTGTAGAGGAGACAGATGCTCTGCAGTTTAATTTCCCCTGACGGTGAGCTGATATTCAACGTCGAATGCTTCTGAGACTGGGAGATGGTAGCCATGGAAGTTCAAACTAAGCTTTGGCCACTGAGCAAGGAGACTAACGTCATGCAGTCTCCTGAACTGGGCTCCTTGTGTGGCTGCTTCCTGAAGGTTTATCAAATGATTTCACAGACCCTCTCTCATCTGCTTCTCACCTGTAGCCTGTGTAGTTTGTCACATAAGGAAACTAAGGCTCAGAGGAGCTGACTGACTTGCCCAAAGTTGCACAGCTCGTCAGAGGCAAAGCCAGGGGTTAATACACATTGATGCTATGTGTGAGCAGCTGGTGTCAGGCCTGGCAAACAGTAGGCCCTCAATGAATGTTAGTTTATTTCTTTATGAATCTAGAGTTCTTCTTCCCACTCTGCCACATGTACATGCTTCTGGAATACATTCTTTCAGCTTTTACAGCTCTTCTTTATGCGTGAGGTTCTATGCTTTCTCCTATCCTCTTTGACATTGGCTCTGCTTTGTAACAGCATTGCATCTGATCCATGGGGTCAGCCCTTCTCATTCGTAGAACCTGGAGGCCAGAGTGGCTGTCAGAGATCTGGTTAAAGCCTCGCACTTTACAGATGAGTGAACTGAGGCTCAGAGCGGGGACGTGACTTGTCTGAGGTTATACAGTGAATTAGTTGCTGAGCCAGGATTAAAACTGAGAACACTTTACTCGAAGGTCTAAGGGTCTTCAACAGTCTAGAGCTGAAGCAAAGAGGCGGGAGGGAATTATAGCCCAAGGGAAGAGCAGGACTGAGGGTGGGGACTTCTGTGGAGGTTTTTTGAGGACCAGAGCATTTGTGTAGGCCAAGAGGCAGAAAGCAGGGGACAGGGGAGTTTGATGCAGGGAGAGCGGCAATGACAGAGTGGTGTGTAAGGTTTTTGCAGAATGAGTCTTTGTCTCCTGGCCACCAAGAGGCATCAAGGGCCTGGGCCTGTGCTCCTTGTAGGGAAAAGATGATGGGCTGGGCTGGTTGGGTTTCATACCAGATGTGGCCTGTGGGAAGCTGTTGATTGGCTGTGGTGAAGGTAGTTTGGTACCTATCGCTCCCTCCCTTCGGCTGGTGCTGTTGGGTGAATGGTGGCAGCATGTTTTCCTAAGAAGGCCTCTCCCAGGGATGTTTAGGAGGTGGCATTTCTCAGGGTGGGTTTCTGTTCCTTCTAAAGGGGCGAGCAATGCTGGAGGTTGGTGTCAGGCCCTAAGCAGCAGTGAATGTGGTGACTGTAGTGGTCTTTCTGCAGCTCTGCAGAGGAGCCTGGGGGTGAATGCAGGGTCCCCTGGGAAGCCAAGTTGGAGGGAAAGCCACGCTTCATTGCTTCATGCAGAGAGAGCACCTCCCCCTTACCTGTTTTAGATATTCAGTCAGATAAAACGTAATTTAAACAAAGGAGTCTGTTGCCCCCAAAAGTTTGAACACCACTGCTTTGGCTCCTGTTAACGCTGTAGTGATAGCGTTAGATAACATAGCTGCCAGTGCGATTGGCATTCCTTCAGTCATAAATTCATTAAACAGTGCTTTTTGGTGCCTACTAAGTGCTGCGCCCGGCTTCCAGCACTGTGAATGTCCAGGGTGAGTGAGGCGAGATCTCCTTCCTAGAGGGACTCACAGCCTAGTGGCCCAGACACAGGCTTTTAGCTGAGTAAGCAGACCCAGAAGGCTCCAGAAGGAAGCAAAGGAGCCGGCAGGGCCGGTGGGGTGTTGGCGTCAGGCAGAGCTGTGAGGGACCCAGCCCAGGACTCAGGCTCTCCTTGGGCTCAGCAGGAAGCCTCGCGGAGGCAGCGATGAGGAAGTGGCTCTGAGCAAGAGCACTGCAGGCCCAGGGGCTGAGCAGCAGGTCCTGTGGGTACAGCTCGCATCTGCTCAAAGCTGCACCCCCAGCCTGTCTTTGGGAAGGTAAGACCCAGGTTTACTCCATGAAACAAGTTCTTCTGGGCATCCCTGGACATCTCACTTAGAGAAGTCCCCAGAAGAGATCATCAGAGAGGTTTGCCCAGAGAGGATGTCTGGGGTTAGTGGGATTTAGAGAAACACAGCTGGGGATGGGGGGGAGGCAGTGCCGTCTCTAAGGATCTGATGACCGCAGTGGGCTCCTCCCCACAAATATGCACAGATACTCAGAATTTGCGCTTAGCTTGAGGGGTTTCTGAGACCCTAGATGAAGATCTCCTCATAACTAGCTTTGATAGCACCGCTGCTAAAAATCTAACAGGAGTGAGATGCATGAGCCCCTTTGGGGTCTTTTTATTTCAGTTCCTGAAACAGACGCATGAAGACTCCCCAAGCAGTATGTACTGGAAAGAGCTTAGAGCTCCGGGGTAGACAGCCCTGGATTCAGATCCACTTCCTGCAGAGGCACCCTAGGCCAGCTCCTTAGCTTCTTGGAGCCTCAGTTGCCTCTTAAGAGAGGCGGTTGGAGTTATAGGAGCAGCCAAGTGCCCACCACACACAGTGCTGTGTGCATGCTAATGCTTTCCTTCTGTGGCCAGTTGACCCAGCTGGCCCTAGGGGTGGTGGGAGTAGGGGATGGGACAGGAGGACACCGGACAGGTGCACCTTGGCAGGCTAAAGCTGCTGTGTGTGGAAGTAAAGCGAAGCCAAGCTTATGAGGGTTCCGCCTGTTCTTGGAACAGGGGTGCCAGGAGATGCTGTGCTAAGTGAAACAGTCTGAGCATACGTGAGCTGTGGGGGCTGATAGGTGTAAGGCAGACACGCCCTTTCCACCCCTCTGGCTGGCAGTGACATCAGCCAGGGGAAGATGGCTGATGGTCGGTTTGGGTTGTCTGGGCCTCAGTTTCCTCACCTGCAAAATAGCCTGATGGTCTCAAGAGTTCTTTCCAGCTCTACTATTCCTTGTCTCACACTGCACACAAACTGAAGCTTCACGTGTGGTGTGCAGTTTTCTAGGGACCATGTTTTAGACACACTTTGGGGCTAGTGTCATTTGGTTGACCTTGCCCCTGTTTTATTTCTGTATCTTCCTCTGGATCTGTGCTGGGGCTAACCCTCAGTACAGGGCCTGGGCACAAGTCCCTTTCTCATCTCTCCCCGGGGATTTGGGGACAGCTTGTCTTACACTAGGACGGAGAAAAAGGTCCGAAATTGAGTGGGAGAGATGTTCTTGGTGTGTCACTGGGTGGGGAGATAAAAAGCAGCATCAAGGAGGGAGATGGGTCCTGCCGAACTGCTTAGGAGTTAGGACCTGGGAATCTTCTCCCTGAAGGGTTGGGGTTGTAGGGGGGACCCATCCTTCTCTCATCTCCTGCTTCCTTTCCTGCAGGTGTAGGCAAGAGCAGTTTGCTGTTACGTTTTGCAGACAACACTTTCTCAGGTGAGTGTGCCCCTGGGGTGCTGCTGGGGTGTTCCGGTTATGAAATCCCTTTCCCTGGCGCCAGAACACACTTGCCTCTGCCTAATGTCGGAAACATCCTCGTTCTGATTGCCAGACGAGGGAAGAAGCAGTGGAGGGAGGCGTAGGTTAGAAGTCTCTGTGGTTGGTCTTTATCTTGTTCAAAAAAGATCCTTTTGCAGGCCCATCCTTTTTCCACCCAGGGTCTTTTGTGCCTCAACATTTAAAAAAGAAAAAAAAAATTAAAACAATATTGCAAGTTAGTATATGCCTATATAAAATTTCAAACAGGAAGACTCGATAAAGTGAAAAATGCAAGCTGGCCCTTCACCTGCACTTCCCGGCACCCCCCGCCCCCCATGCCCTGGTAGCCTCTGTTCCGCATGGTGTATATCTTTCCGACTCTTTTCTCGACACCTGCCTTCCCCTCAGCACATCAGGGGGCATCCTTCCACATCTGCATACAGCCCTCGGGTTCTTAAATGGCTGTGGAGGTTCCCGGGCTGTGCACAGATGCACATCATTCAGTAACAGTGCCCTTGGTTGTGTGTGCTTTCTGGTTACATCTATTTTAGGTGATGCTGCATTGCTTGGGGTACATGGTATGCTTACTCTTGTAAAGAAGTGGAGTTACTAGGTCAGGGGGTATGTGCGTTTAAAATTTTCACAGGTACTGCCAACTCGCCTTTCAAAGAGGCTGTACTAAGTTCACTGACACCCTCACTGAAGGGGTCAAAAGTGCCCCTCGTCAACTCTGATCAGTGCCGGGTCTTAGTAGTCTTCATTTTGGCTGAGCCAGTAGGCAAAAAGTGCTATCTCATTTAAATTTGTATGTCCCTGATCACTGGTGAAGCTGGGCCTGTTTTCATTTGTTGAATCCATCAGGTTCATTGCAGAGGCTTCTGGTTGGCTTGGCCTCTCTGATCAAGGTCTGAAATATGACTGTCTTGTGGGGAATTCCCTGTGATGTGGTTGAGGAGTGAGCTACAGTTAGGAAGTGATTACATGGCTAACGCCTCTCTCAGTGGAGAAGTGGGTTTCTCCCCACAGTAGCCCTGCAACACTACTGCTGGTGTGATGTTGGAAAGAGTTGTCTTCCCTGTGTGACCGTGAGCGTAACTAAGTCTCAGCTCATCTGTAAAGTAGGACTAACCATCGTCCCTCCCACCTGGGTTACTGCGCAGATTACCTGAGATACTGCAAGTCACTGTGTCTGGACTAAGTAATCTCTCAATAAATACCATCTTCCAGTAAACATTGCTGTCTGCTTAAGAATGGTAACTACTGGGCAGCTTCTCATTATGCTGAAAAACATTCCTCTTCCTCCTTAGGTCCCTCTGACTCCCCATCCTATCAGCTTTCAACTCCTGGAGGGTTCTCCTGCAATCTCTCTCCTCCTTTCCATTTCTCCTACCAGTATCTTAGTTCAGACCATTGTTCTAGCCTGAAGCGTTAGAGCAGCTCCTACCCATCCCTTACCAGACTGCTGAATTCAGCTTACTAATGCACGTCTCTGGCAGCGTCTTTCCTCTGTTTTAATACCTCGGTGGCCCTCTCTTCCGTGAGCAGAGTTTATAGCGAGGTTTCTCCACTTCAGCACCGTTGACACTTTGGGCCCGTAATTCTTTGTTGTGGGGTCTGTTCTGTGCATTGAAGGATGTTGAGCAGCATCCCCGGGCTCCACCCCCTTCCCCCCCCGCCCCTGGCCCAGTTGTGGTCATCAAAAATGTCTCCAGACATTGCCAAGTGTCCTCTGGGTGGACACAGTCATTCCCGGTTGAAAACCACTGGTCTTCACGATCTCTTTCCAGCTCAGCTTTCCAACTTCCTCTCTCTTACTGTTGGTTCACTCTTGTTTTTTCTCTAGCCCTCCTGCTCACTCGCTCATTCAGCGAGCAGCTGTCTACTGAGTTCCTGCAGCGCTAGGTGTGGGGCCACCCTCCGTGGCGTCACCCAGAGCTCGCAGAGCGCCAGATGCTGTCTTGTTTTCTGAATATATTCCCTCCGCTTGTGCCTCAGCTCCTTTCCTCTGGGTGGATGTCATTCTCCCACCTAATTTCAACCTTTGAAATTGTACCTGTTCTGTGAAGCTAGGCCCAAGTGTGACTTCCTCCCCAAAGCCTTTCTTGATCCCCTTGAACTTTGACCTTTCCTATCCCCTTTCCATACTTCATATAGTCAGCATGCGTCTTGTCTGCAGCACTGTGTTATACTGTAAGCTCCTAATGGAGCGAGAAGGTGTGTTCTTCTTAGCAGTTGGGCCTTTGTAAGCCTGGACAGGACTGTTACATCGGCCAAAACTTCTCTTCAGCTCCATCCTTCACACAGATGCCCCAAGAGAGCTGTTTACAATGCAGCTCGTGCTCTGGTTAAAACTGTCAATGCCTCCTCATCACACACAAGGGAAAGTCCAGGCTCTCTAAAATGGCGCAAAGGCCCTGAGATCTGGCTTTGGCTCCCCCACTTGCCTCCCACCATGTGCCTGACCTCACATGACCCCCACCCTATTGGTAGTTTTGCTGCTGTCTTCTCTGCCTGGAGGAGCATTTTGCAAATTGCAGGTCATGACTTGTATGTTAGGAAGTTAATTTTGTGGGTCATTTAAGATGTTTGGAATGGAATAGAAAAGAAAAACCCCACGTGCATCATAGGCCTCCCACCATTCTCAGGCCACAGCTAACATGTCCCTGCCAGGCCCCTCTAATTGAAGGAACCTGTCCCCTCCCCTCAGTCACATCCCCTGTTTTATTTCCTTTGTGGCACTCATCGCTCTTGGAATTGTCTTCTTTATCACTTTGTTTCATTGTATCCCGTCTGTTGCCCTCACCTCGACTGTGGGCTCCATCGGGGCAGGGACCTTGTCTTTCTTGTTCAGGGCTGTGTCCCTGGGACCTCGAAAGTGCTGGGCACAGAGGGAGTGGGGAGGGATCCTGGAGCCCAGGGTCGCCTGTGCAGTTTAGGATGTGGTCTGACGGGGCACCTGGGGGCCTTGCTAATGTGCGTGTGTGTGCAGGCAGCTACATCACCACCATTGGCGTGGATTTCAAGATTCGGACGGTGGAGATCAATGGGGAGAAGGTGAAGCTGCAGATCTGGGACACGGCGGGGCAGGAGCGCTTCCGCACCATCACCTCCACGTGAGTCAGGCCAGCGCTCCCCTTCGGACCCCTCGCTACTGACATGTGGACACCGTTGAGTGATTAGTCGCGGGTCATGGTAGAAATGTCCCTGGGGTGGGCCCTGAGGCTGTCGGGAGGTGAGCTCCTTGCTGGCCATGGTGGGTGGTGTCAGGTGGTATCGGGCTGAAGTGAGCCCTTGCTCTTCCTGAAGATGCGTGAGGAGGAGGGGACAAGGTGTGGCTGAGCAGTGGCTGAGCACCCTGGCTCTGGGTGCCAGCAGGACAGTACGTGTCAGTCAGCTTACCCTCTGGTCTTCAGGTCCTTTGTCTGTAAAATGGGATAATGGTGATACTTGCTTCACCAGGTGGTCAGACACTTAGTCAGTGACAGTTACTCTTGTTAGGTATCAGTTGTGACTGCTGGGGTCGGCCGTGCAGGCTCCCGTCACCCACTGTGACTTCTTGGAGGCGGCCTCTCTCTGTTGGATGGCCTGGAAGGAACACTGATACGTAGGAGGCCGCTGAGAGGCCCCTCCTTTGCTTCCCCTAGGCTGTTTACTGGGAACCTGGCTCATCAGCGGGTTGCCCTCTTTGCTGCTACAGCACCTCTGTGGTTCTTAGCTGCAAACAGGAGGAAATCCCAGCGGGAGCTCCAGACCGCAGGAGTCCTGTGAGGGGCTCTTGGTTCTTGGGCTGTTAATGGAACAAGTTCCAGGAAAGAGCAGGGCTTGGAAGGCAGACAGTTTAGAATTTACATTTCTGTTCTACTGTGTGACCTTGGGCAAGTTGCCTAAACTCTCTGAGCTTGTTTCCCAGAGGGTTTATCTTTAGGATTCTTGAAGGCTGAGTCCTGTGTGCCAGGTACTCTGTGCTTGGGCCTCTCACGGGTGATCTCATTGAGCTCTCTGAAGCTCTCTGCAGTCGGGACTACTATTATCCCCATTTTACAGATGAGGGAACTTCCAGGTGGGGTCCTGCTCCCAGTGAGTGGCAGAGCCTGCGCTCCACACCGGGATGTGTGCAGAGCCGGAGCTGGTGTCTGGCCCGTAGTGGTTGCTTCTTCGGCGGCCTCTCCTTTGCCTCTTAGCAGTTCCTGTGTGAGTGGGGGCTTCTGGGAAGATGTGTGAGGAAGTTCCTTGGCCAGAGATCCCTCTCCTCCCTCAGCATGGAAGCAGGGTGGACCCAGGCTGGCTGCCCATCCCGAGGCTCCCCAGGATCTTCTGAGGGGTGAAGAGCCCCCATGGCGGTGGCTGGGAATGAGGGGGGACTCCTGGGGCTGCTGGCCGGGCGGGTGGGCAGTCCTGGTCAAGGAGGTTTCAGGGGCTGGAGCCCGAGCAGCCCCTTAGCAGGAGGTTCTGTCACCGGGTAGCCCTGTAGTGCTCACATGAGTGCCGTGGTCTGTGACTCCCTGAAATCCCAGGGTCCCCATCCTGGGGGCTTTCCAGTGCTGCTCTCTGCAACACTTGCTGATGAGCTGCCTGAGCCCCCTCGTGCTCAGCAACTGCCAGCGAGGCCCTAAGGAGGGCAGCTGGGATCAGAGGCTCCTTAGGGTAGGATGGACGTTGTGAGGTGTGAGTGGCCCGAGCTGTGGGTCTAGACCCAAACAAGCCCAAGACTTCCTGTCAGGGTCTAGAGGTCTGGGCACTGACGCCAGCTGTCTTTACTCCTGGCTGGGACTGTCGCTAAGGGCTTTACCTACTTATTTCATTTAATCCTGATAAAGAGTCCTGTGATTATCTCCATTTTATGGATGAGAAAACTGAGGCCCAGAGGGTGAAGTGACTTAGCTTGGTTGGTTAGTCCAGAGTTGAATTGAGGTCCGTCTGATGCCAAAGCTCTTGCTTTTAACCAGTCCATGGCCCTGCTGTCTGCTGGCTTCCCACCCCTAAGGCCCCAGGGCTGAGGCAGAGGGCAGATGCTCTGGTGCCTCCTGTGGCTGGAAACCAGTCAGGGAATTCAGGGGCGGCTGAGAATATTGGGCCTGTGGCCACGAGAGATGCCTCAGGGAGGGCAGTGGGGCCTGGGCTGCCTGGGCCCTCTTAGCAGAGCAGCTCCCGCCCTCCCTTGGCCGCCATGAGGTCAGCTTCTCTCAGAGGGGGGCGGGAAGTGGGTGAACTGCCTCCTTCATTCTGTTGTGGAGACTGGAGTTACTCAGCTGCCCAAGGGCACCGTGTTTGTTTCAGGGTGCGTGAGCAGGGGGGCGACGCTGCACGCTGGTGCCCTGTGGGCACTGGCTTGGCCCCTGCAGGCCATCTTGCCTGGCTGGCTGGGGAGGCTGAGGGTAGCTCCATCTTGGGGTCCCCGACGCTGCCCCTCATGAGGCAAGAGTCACCACAGGCCATGCCGAGGGGCCACGGAGAGACTTGATGCCCTGTGATGGTAGTTGGCAAGGAAGGAAGGAGTCCTGAAGAGTTGAGGAGTTTGTTTTCTTTCTAGGGATTGGGACAGTCAGGGTGCAATAGTGTGGCCTTTTCTGAGTCAGGGCATTAAAAGAGAAACTAAAACTGCATCCTGTTAGCCAGATGAGAAAAGAGCCCTGTTGTCACCCCCTCATAGTTTGTCTTTTGTTAGCTGGGGTGGCTGAGCCTGAGAGGTGTGGATCGGGGGCGGAGTGAGGTGTTGGATGGTGAGGTGAGAGGAGGAGGTGATGAGGAAGGAGAGCCCCTTCGATACCTGGCCCTGGATCCCGGAGTTGGACTGGGCACGGTGACTTCAGGCAGGTCACTCCACTCAGGCTCACGTCCTCACTGGTAAAATGGCGACCCTCATGCCTCTCATACAAGATGTTGCAAAGATTTACAAGGTGGGGATAGAAAGTACCATTCCTGGCAAGAGCTAAGTCGTGGTGAGCGGAAGTGATCGCTGGTGGCAGTGGCCATAGGAAGCCCAGAAGCACTGTGCTCTCCTGGCTGGAGCTCTGAGCCCAACCTCATCCCCTGACCAGTCTCTCTCTCAGATAAAGCCCCTTGCCTGGGCCCAGAGAAGGCGGAGCCTCCCCGGGATCAGCGGGGGCTTCGTGCTGGGGCCGCAGCTGTAGCCATTTCTTGGCATCTTCGATAGTCTTAAGCAAAGGAGGGTTTGGAAATGCATTCCACTGCTTGCACTTCGTTTGCTGGCAGGGGACAATCGTCTGTCCCCTTGGTTCCTGGCATGCATTTCTGCACCTGCTCAGGTGGGTGTCCATCAGGCCGAACCGGGTGATGACCTGGCACTCCCAGCAGCAGCTGCCAGGGTACAGGGGCAGGGCTGAGAGCTGGTTCTGAGGGCCCAGCGCCTAGACGAGCGCCTAGACAGCTGGACAGTTAGGGCTCCCCAAGGCAGGGGGTGGCGCTGTGTCCCTGGGAAGCAAAGATGTGGGCGGAATGAAGCCCCTGGGGGCTCTCAGCAGGTGGCTGGGGGGGAGAGATGGGTGGGGAGACAAGTTGGGCTTGACCGCAGAGCACAGCAGGGGCTCCTCCTGCTCACAACCTTGGTAGCCAGATCAGGGAAGCTGCCTTCACTGCTGCCTCCCCGTGCCGTCCCTTGGTTTTCTTCTACCTGTGTCAGGGGCCCCAGGTTGTCACTGAAGGAATATTAATAATGACAATAAAGAGCCACCTTTCCTTGACCGTTTACCACTCGCTGGCCCTTGCAAAAATGTGTATTATCTCCTTTATTCCTCCTGAGTGAAATTCCCCAAGAGTTAAGAACTGGTATCCTATTTTATAGTTGAGGAAGCTGAGGTGCGATGAGGTACATGCAGTAACCAGCCCAGGGTCCCCCAGCCTTTCAGAGCTGGAGGCTTTTGTCCTGTGCTTGGGCCTAGAATATGAAGAGTTGGCAAGAGACCTGATTGGCAGGCAGGTGAGAACATAGCTGCACCCCGAGCCTGGCTGGCTCCATCCTTGCTAAGCCCGGGGGCCTCAGAACTGCTGCTCAGGAGGACCCGCTCTCCCGCAGGCTTGCGGGCCCAGTGCCCAGGCCCTGATAAGCCTCAGGAGGGCGGAGTGCTTGGAGTTGGGCCAGGTGGCAGCCAGCGGGTCAGGAGGAAGCAGCCCGACCACTCAGGAGCGCGGCCTCTTGTGGGCAGTGGTTCTTACCCTTGCTCTCAGGAGCCCCTCGTTGAGTGAGAAGCTCTGCAGCTCTGGGTGATTGCATAGTGTTGGGGCAGGGGGGTTGCCTGGCCATTGGATCAGTGAAGGCTCTCCGGGAAAGTGAGAGGCCCTGTCCTTGTCTTCGTCCCAGGAGTGATGTCCTCCTGAATGACTGGGGATGCAGTGTCTGGAGAGGAATGTTTGCATCCTCCTGCCTTCCAGACCTTCTAGCTGACATCAGGCCATGGGTCTGCACATTTGCATGGTGGCACGGTGGGTGTCTGGGACACCCTCTTCATCGGTGCCTAGCTGCCCATGCAGTTTCCATGCTCTCCCTCCCTCCGACATGGATTGGGTGAGCCCAGAGTGGCAGGAAGGGAGGTGCCCACCTGCCCCCAGGGGAGTGAATGCAGACCGTGGCAGGGCTTCACAAATGCTGCATCTTCTTGGAATGGCATTTTACTGGGACAGATTTGAGGAGAGAAAAATTTTTTTAATGTCAAAACAAAGACAGTGATAATATGATGTCAAATGCAAAAAGTGCCTGATTTTAGAAATAAAATGAGAACTTAAAGAAGTCTGGAGCTAGTGGCAGATTCTGAACAACCTGGTTGGCCGCCTCAGGGCCGAGCACTCCCTACTCCCTGGTGCCTTGGGGACAAGTGTGAGAAGCAGTGCTGCCGAGCGTCCTTCCCTGCTGGCCGGGGTCTGGGTCGAGTGTGTCCAGCCGAGGCCACGTGGAGAGTAGACTCTGGGTGTCCTGCGGGAAAGCATTTGCCCCTCACCATTTCCCCGGCTGCTGTCTGGATGTGGGCGGGTGGGTCCTAGTGAAGGGGCTGCTCTTGTCTAGGCTGAAGCTCTGACGCAGACTCTGGCCCTGCAGGTATTACCGGGGGACCCACGGGGTCATTGTGGTTTATGATGTCACTAGTGCCGAGTCCTTTGTCAACGTTAAGCGGTGGCTTCATGAAATCAACCAGAACTGTGACGACGTGTGCCGAATATTAGGTGAGGCTAGACCCGGTGGGGTGGGGACAGTGGGATGGAGGTGGTGGAGGGTGTTCCTGCAGGGCCGGGCTGACTTTGCTTTGCTTTGAAGTGGGGAATAAGAATGACGACCCTGAGCGGAAGGTGGTGGAGACAGAAGATGCCTACAAATTTGCCGGGCAGATGGGGATCCAGTTGTTTGAGACCAGCGCCAAGGAGAACGTCAACGTGGAAGAGGTGAGGCCTGGGCTGGAGCGGGGACAGGGGAGGGAGTGGGGCCCAGCTCTGCTCTACCACCACGACCCTCCTCTTCCCACTCCTAGCCTGCCCAGGGCCTCCAGGCGGCTGACAGAAAATGTCACAGTAACTGCATTTATTGAGTGCCTACTGTGTGCCAGTCATTGAGCTAGGCCCTTTAAAGATGTCAGCTCATCTCTCGACAGTCCTCAGAGGTAAATTATTCCCATGTTTCAGATGGGAAACTGAGGTTCCAACTTAAGGAATATCACCCAGCTCGTAAGAGGCTGAGTCAGACTTGGACCTGTCTCGCACCACAGCCATGCACGGTTTCCACTCAGGTCTCTGCCTCCTTGGCCCTCCTCTGCCCCAGCACCGTGCCCTCTTCCAGGTCTCTGGCTTCCCCTGGGGCCTTGGCCTCCCTGCAGAGACCAGGTTGCTTTCCTGTGCCCTCCAGAGCTCAGGTGGGCACTTGCTGTGAGCCCCCGCGAGGCTCCTGGGGATGCACATCCCCCGAAGACTAGCTGAGCCTCCAGCCCAGGGCAGCTTCCCTTCACTTCTGCTGGGGCTGTTGGAAAGCAGTTCTGAGTCTGTGGGAGAAAAGCCAGACCTTTTGCCACAAGCCCAGGCTGGCTGCTCACGGCTTCGGGAGATTCCTGGCCACAGTGTGTGGAGTCCAGAGGCCCAGGGAAGCCGAGATCCCCATTGCATCATGGACCCTGACCGCATAGCACTGCGGAGCCCAGGTGCCTCAGAGTTAGGCTAGGATCACAATTTGGGCCTCTCCGCTAGGGGACCTGTGGGGGCGCCCAGGTGACCTTGGGCAGTGACTTAACCTCTCTAGGCTCCCTCTGTTCGTTCTGTAGATTGGGGTCAGGTGAGAGTCTCTGCCTCCCGGGGTTAAGTGAGGCAAATTATGTCCGGGGCTTGAGACCTTTCCCGGCCAAGTGGAGGAGAGGACTGTGGCTTGGTAGGTGGAGTTCCACTGGATCCTGGCATTGCAAGGATGTCTTGGGGGTGGTCCCAGGAAGGTTCTAGGACATGCAGTGAGGTGCATGGAGTAGGCAGGCTCCTACACGGAGCAGGGTCCCTCTAGCCCGAAACCAAAACAGGGGCACCTTTATCTGTCTTGTCTGAAGATTCCAGCTGAAGGAAAGGGGTTCTTTCTCTCTTTAAAAGACAGACTAGAAAATACCGGAGAGATTGACTTCCCCGAGACACAGCTCATGGGTCTTTTGATCGTTTCTTTTTGACCTTTATAATTTACCACGTCCTTCAAGAAAGGGTTTGAGGACATACATACAAAAAAATTCAGGATTAGGAACAGAAAGCTGGGCCCTGGGAGGCGGGGAGGCGGCCGTGCTGGCCAGCAGAGGTAGCGCAGCCATGAGGGGCCTCCTCGCTAGGTCTGAGGCTCGCCCTGCCTCCTTCATCCTCACAGATGTTCAACTGCATCACAGAGCTGGTCCTCCGAGCAAAGAAAGACAACTTAGCGAAACAGCAGCAGCAACAACAGAACGATGTGGTGAAGCTCACGAAGAACAGTAAACGAAAGAAACGCTGCTGCTAATGCCCCACCCAGCCCACTGCAGAGACTGCACTGCGGCCACTCCCCTGGCCTGAGGCCCGTGGGCTCCTCGGGGGACAGTCTCAGTTTCGTGCCGTTATTTAAAGAATTCTCTCCACGTTTTTGTATTGGGAGGCGCCATCGGCACTTCCTCCCCTCCCCCCTCGAGTGCCAAGAAGGTGTTGGACAACCTGCCCTTCCCTTCTGGTGCCCCTGCCCCCTGGCCAAGGCGCCTGGGCCCGGCAAGGACGCTGCCAGCCGAGCGGACTGATTAACCAGAGTTTGTACATAATGTATATTGCTTTAACCAGCGCGTCACCCTCGTCCTGCTCTGGCTTTTGCCTCCTTAACGCCAGCCTGCTGCGACAGACCTTCCCTCCCCTCCCCATCCCATCTTACTGCCAGCAGCTCCCTGAGGAGCCAGGATCGCATTCTAGCCACATCTTTTGCCAACCTGGGCTGGTGGAGTGGGCTCCATGTTACTCGTTCTCCTATAGGCTGTCGGCTTCTGTCCCTGGCACACGGGGTCTCCCCCATCTCCAGGGCCTGTGCTGTCTCTGTTCCCAGCCCAGCTCCCTTCCTTCCCCATCCCCATTCTGGCAGCTGGGGAATCCTGGCCCAGAGGTGGGCCTGGAGGTTCCTGTTAGAGGCCTTGCCCTCAGCTGGCCCTGCCCTTCGGTTCCACAGAAGGAGTCACTCCTGACCTTTGGCCAACAGATTTCTTGTCCTGCCTTCTAGATACCTCTGGGCTACAAACCCAGGGGAGCCGTGGCTTCTAATTTATACCAACCTGTTTCAGTTCCACCAGAAAGGCAGGGGATATTTGTGCAGGGATGGGGCTTGCAGGGGGGCTAAGGAACATTATTTTAACAGATAAAGCAAATGAAGCCAAATCAAATGAATTAAGTTCCTCACACCTTGTTTCTCTTCCTGAGGTTTGGTTGGCACAGCAGCAAAAGTTGTGGCCTCCCCACTTTGGGTCCAGTGTTTTTAGAAAAAGCGAATGGCTTCCTGTCATTGTGGGGCTGGGCTCTCTGCAGAGCAGCTCTGCCTTCTTGGCTGGTTCTTGGTGGGAAAGGAGAGGGGGGCCTTCCACCCTTGTCTGTGTCGGCCCCGCATCTCCCACTGAGTTCCTGGGTCTCGGATGCAGCACCAGGCACCTTTGAATGTGGGGAGTGGGTGCCAGGGGCTGCTGGACCATGGGGATGACGCCTCTGAGCTGGGCGGCAGGCAGCCTTGGATCACTGACAGAACTGTTGTAGCAGCATGAGGATTTCTTAGCGGGTGGGAAGGAATGGCAACCGGGGTTGGGAGCCAGCCAGCTTGACCCACTCTGGTCCCCTGGAGGAAAAACCAGGGTCATCTGCACTTGATTACTGGCCCCTTCCCTCCTGGGACACCTCATTCACCTTTACCCTAAAAGGATCACGTAACCTGGAAATAATTTATTTCAACACCATGATGTGTTTTATTAGATTTCCTTTCCTAGGCGATTTCCAGGCGAAGCCCTGATTGGACAATCACATCACAGATCACACTGCAGATTTTCCATGTTAACACTGCTGATGGGTTTTTAATCAATAAAAACTGGGGGTTTCTTCTGACCTGTCTCTCCACTTCCCCCAAACTGCCAAAAGCCTGTGATTCTGTGTGACAAGCCTTCACTTTGGAGCCGCAGGATGAGGTGGTGGAGCTCTGCGGACTGGGAAGGCCGTGCTGTGGAGGGTGGCTGCAGGGCCAACCAGCAGGCAACCCTGTCTGGTTAGGGGGCCGGGAGCAAAAGCGTGGTCTCCATCCTCAGGACTGTCCGTGGGTCCTGTGGGGGGTGTGCAGAGTTTGGGGCTCATGAGGTGGGCAGCATACTTGACTCTGAGCATTCAGGTGACGCCAGTGTGGCAGTGCTTGCAAATTCAAGCAATAAGAGGACAGGGGTCCTGGAAGCTTCCAGCCCAGGCTAGAAGCCACCATGGCTTCTGGCAACTGGATGTCCAGCCCCAGGTGGTGGGGTGATTTTGGTGACAGTGTGCCTGTCCCGCCAAGTGTTACATGCATGAATGGGGGGTGTGGGGGTGGGGGACTCCTCACAGGGCTGGACCGATATCCTGGTGGACCTGATGTGAAATTCCTGTCAAACAAACAACAAAACTTTTAAATGGTTTGCTAGGATTATTTCTGTATTGAAAGTTTCTAATTATGCTTTTTAAGAAAAATACTAAAAATAAAGGTTCAAGCTGCCAAATTTTCTTCCAGGGTCTGTTTCCTCTCCTCTAGCTGCGCTCTGGGTGGGCCTGGCTTCTTCCTGCCCATTGTGTCCAGCTCGTTTGTTCTGGTCTGAGTGTCGCACAGGTGCCTCTTGCGGCCCAGGGACACTTTCAGAAGCCAGGTTTGTTTTCTCCACTAAAGGCTGGTCTAGGTTGAGCTTCCCCTCTGGTTGGATGCACTGCCTAGGAGCACATGTGGTACAATGCCAGGGGAAGCTCTGTGTTTATTCTGTGCATGCCCGGAAGGATGCAGTGGAGGCTCTGCCTGCGGCAGTTTCTTTCTGGCTCGAAGTTTCTGCCAGGCTGTAGGGCCTGCTCCAGGCTTGGGCAGCAGTCTGACAGGCTCTGCCTGTAGCCAGGCAACCGCAGTGCTAGCAGGGAGCCCAGGGCCAGGGTGGGCGTGGAGGCGGTACCTTCAGCCCCTGCTCCCAAAACAGCTGTCACTGACAGGATGCCTCCACCCTCCAGGGGAGGTGCCCCCAGAGGGCTGAAACCACTGACCGGGTGCCAGCGTCTGAGGCGACCTCCCAGGTGCGTGGGGTCCTCACTATCGCTGCCTCTTCGTGGCCAGCCCGCGGCAGTTCTGAAATGTAAGCTGCGTTCTGACCAAACCACCCCTCCAGGTACCCAATGACTGAGGCAGGAAGCTCTGTAGAAATTCATTTTATTCGTAGACTATTTTCAAAAGAAGCAGTGATGTGCTGTTTTTCTAAAAATATGCCTTTATAGATTTATATATATGTATATTATAAAATCCATACATGTATTTACACGATTGCTACATAGAAAATTACAGCACTGTGGTATGTACATATCTATAGATACATTCTTTCCGCTCATCCCTGCTGTGCTTTTCCCGGGGGAGGGAGGAGATGATCCTTTGTAAAGCAGCTTGCGGGCTGGCTCGGCCCGGGGCGCCTCTGAGTTAGAGCCTCAGCAGGGACGGTGGAGTGGCTGCCGAGGAAGGAGCAGAAGCAGCAGGGTGCAGGATTCATCCTTCCGCAGGCCTGTGGCCAGTATCTGGAGACATCCACCCCGTGGTACCAACGCTGCCCTTGAGGTGAAGGTGGCTGACCGCAGACCCCTCTGGGGCCCTTCTGTGGCCTGGACTTGCTTGGCTGAGCCAAGAACTTGTCTATCTGAGGGGAGCAAGGGGGCTGTGGGAGGAGGATGAGACCCTTCCCGGCCCCGGCCCCATGAAGGGGAAAGGGCTGGACAGCTGAAGACTGCAGAGGGCCTGTAGAAGACTGGCTGGCCTGCCCCGCTGAGGGGGAAGGCCTGCACTGGAGGTGGCCCTGGAGAGAGAGCGGGGGCAGCCAGAGGGCAGGGCCCTTCTTCCTCCTGGGCTCAGGGGACGGCCTGAGCCAAACTCCGGGAAAGCCCAGAGTGGCTGAGCATGAGACTAGCCCCAGCCATCAGGCCCCGCAGGCTGGGTCTCCTGCCGGAAGAGGTGCTCTCGGCAGAGGTGCATGCACGTGGGTGAGGGGCCACCTCCTCCCTGTACTCCCTGGGCCAGTGGCTGGGGGAGGGGTGGAGGCTCAGGCCTGGGCCTGGTGCCCTGCAGGACTAGGCCCCCGAGGCTCCTCTTCAGGCATGCAGAGAAGGGCCTCCATTTCTTCTGTTCCCCATATTCCAAAACAGGAGGGCAGCGGTGCCTGGGGTTGGGCACGGGAGCCACTGAGGGGTGGTGAGGTGGGCTGCGATCTGTTGGGTCTGAGCCGCAAAGCCCGACCAAGGGGCCACTCTGGAGGCAGCCTGAGCCCTGCTCAACAGCAGATCCTGGAAAAGCCCAGGCTGGGCTTGGCCGGGTGGTGGGGGCAGGGCTCCTGCCTGTCCCTCTGTTGAGGGCAGCCTTCAGAGGCCAAGTGGGCCCTCCTAGACCCCTTGGCCCCAGTGTGGGTGGGCGGTGCAGCCACTGAGCCCGGCCTGGGAGGGCCCTTGCCCACACCCCCTTTTCAGTCACTTCCAGTCCACCCATCCTCGCTGGCCTGACTCCTCCCAACTCAAATTTTCCTGAAGAATGAGAAGAGCCGTTTGCCTTCAGCGGTGCTGGGCTCGTCCCCGCGCCCCGCGCCGTGGGCCCTGGAGAGGGCAGCAGCAGGCCGGCTCCGTTCCTTCAGGTGTGTGTCCATCAGCTGCCGGTCAATGACCCTGTGCATGTCATCCTGCAGAGGGCAGAGCGGAGGGGGCTGAGCAGGGCCCTCACCTGGCGCTGGGGGCGGGGCGGGGTGGTGGTGGCAAATGTTGGTAAGAGGTGAGATGAGGACGAGGAATGAGATGAGTGAGCGGCTGCAGCCAAGGCTGCCGTGACCAAGAAAGCGGCAAGTGTAGACACGATGTGGGGACACACGCAAGCCACGCGACACCTCCATTCTCCTCAGGGCTTGAGCTGGCTTCTCACTAGTGTTAGCCCCTCAGCTGACCCTGCAGATGGTCTGTCCTTATAGGCCAAGAGAACGGCGGCAGCTGATACTTCCCTGTCTCTCCACCCGGGCCACCGGCCCCACACCAGTGCTCAGCCTCGCCTGTGACCGGCCCTCTCTGCCTCGCCTCCTGTGTCCCTTGGGGCTGGGTGGGTGCCTCTCGCATGGTACGCACCCTCCCCAGGCCCTAGGGCGACCTCAGCTTGCCAGCTCTCCAGCCCAATGGCCTGGCCTCAGGGGGCTTCTCCTGACCCTTTTTTCCCTTAGAATTCTTACCAGCCTAAGCTGCTGATGCCCAGGCACCACCGGCAGCCCCGCGTGGCAGGGACACAGGCTCCCTGGGTGCTACCCTTGCCCACCACCAGCCACGCGCTCAGCACCCCACTGGCAAGGCTCCTATCTGTGGCCGAGACCACGGGCATCACCATCTTCAGGGCTTGTCTTGCTCCAACTTAGACCCATTTCCTTGGCTTCCTCACTGGGGTAGCACCTTTCTCCCTCCAATTTGTTGAGCTGCCTAGAAAATGGCCCCCTCCCCCTGACTCCACCTTACAGAACAGCAGCTTCTACTCCACAGAGGGGCTTCTGGACAGAGCAGCTCTACTCTCCTTCCATACTAGTTGCTAGATTCTGATTCTGTGGAAGATTCTATTCGACTATTCGACAAAGGCGTTCTGCCACTCACAAAGTACGAAAACTACTGGTTAGAAATATCAGCAGCCCTGTCCAGTTAACATCAGTAGGAAACATAATGGGCATCTGTCTGATTCCTTCACCCTTGAACCTGGTGGGCTCTGGGATGTCCTGGGGAAGAGACACTGAGCCTGGGGCTAAACCCTGGAGTGGGCGAGTCAGCTGCTCATGTCCGAGCACAGGACAGTGGGGCACCCCCTGAGGGGGGGCGGATGAGCTCTGTGGCTCTGAGCCCCCAGGTGACAGGGCAGGAAGTGGGGGTGGCCGGGCCCCTCTCCCTGGCCAGCTTGCCCTCACCTCCCACACTCGCACCCAAGCTCTCACTAGTAGGTGTCACTGGAGTGTCTTTGCAGGTTTCAGTGTGAAACAAGGGGACTTTCCTGACCACATTACCAGATGGTGGCGCGTGTGGACCTCTTGCTCGCCGCCTTGCTCACGTCCCGCTCTCCTGCCTTCCTCTCCTCCCATCCCTGTCTGTCTTCATACTCCACTTCCTTCCTGCACCTCTCCTCCTCCTCCGCACAGAAACAGGAGACAGGGTGCCCACTTCCACGGCCCCAGTGTCGAACCCTCAGCACAGTGCCCTGCACTTGGGACATGCTCAATAGAACCTAGGTTGTTAAATGCAACGAGAGAAACATTAAAGGGTCCTTCAGAAAGAAACCCGTTCAAAGCTAATGTTTTTCCTAGCACATTGCAAACTGCATTTTTCATACTTTAAAACTTGTTAAGGTAATCCCAATAAAATACACCACTTTAGAACTTCATACACACACACGCATGAGCTGCTCACAATTCCATGCCTGCTGTTACTTCTGTGGGCAAAACAACTCATTTATGAGGAGATGGCACCAAGAAACCAGGGGTCAGCCAGTCAGTACTGGGCCACGTGCTGCCAGGCTCACTGGACACGATGGTGAGGGGAGGATGGAGGCTGGGGCTCGATGGCATGGCACACTGCACAGAGATGATGCTGGGCTCCGGCACACACAACACGGTGGGCCACGAGGGAGGCGGCAGGGGCAGGACTGCGATGGCAGCTGGGGAGAGGGTGGGCGGGATGAGGGCTCAGTCTCACCTCAAAGGCAGGAGGGGTGTACAACTAAAGCTGTTGATACGGGAACTGAGAAAGGCCACTAGATCAGAAACCAAAGGAGCCAGATAGTAAAAAGCCCTGAGGAAGCAAACTGTAGCCGGGAGAGAAGAGAGAAGAACAGGGGCAGTAAGCCAGGGAATGGCCAGCTGACCAAGGGGCAGGAGGCTGAGGAGCCAGGGACCAGCTCTGTGGGGAGGGTGCTGGTGCTCCTGTGGCCAGCCCAGCAGGGCCCTTGGAAAAATAGTCACTGTGAACCTGCCCTCCACGGTGGGGCTCGCCTGGTAGAGCCGCAGGTGGCTCTTCATCTGTCTGCTTAGGATTTCTTTTGGGGAGAACCATGAATGGTTACACTCATATCCTGAAATGGTACCACCCTAACCTCACTAACAAAAAGCAAGTACAGCCCTGGCCCAGTGGGAAGCCATACTGGGCCTGGGATGGGGCAGGCTGACTGGACTCAGAAAACAGTGGTCCTAGAGATGGACACACTGACTCATTTTCCCCAGGCCTGTGCCAAGACAGTGCTCTTTGGAAAAAGGAAGCTGGCCTTTGAGAAAGGGAAGGGCAACAGCTGCCAGCAACCCAAGGGTTGCTGTACTACATCCAGCTGTGAATTTTCCTTCAGTCATACAGGGGTTCCTGGGCCCTCCATGTTAACAGCTGTTTCTTTCTAACTAATTTAAACAAAGCCGAGACGACTAGCTGAAGGAGGCCCCTGTTCAAGCCTGGAGGTCACCACAGCCCCAGAAAGCACAGCCTGGGGTTCATCGCTCTCAAGAGCATCCTCAGGCATATTCCCCAGGGACTACGGGAGCACAAGCTCTGAATTTCACCAGGTGAAAACCGGGGTTACTGCTCACCCACGCACATGGGATCCTCCAGTAACAAACTCTCTTTCTTACAGTCTGCCTTCATTCAGAGACCCCTTCTGGAGCCTCGTCTTCTCTCACCCTGTGTCTCAGGGCTCTTGTTTACCTGCCAAGCCTCAAGCTGCTGTGAGAGGTTCAGCTTCTGCTGAATGGCATCCAGCAGCTGGCTGTTGAGAGACATCATGTCCATCTTGCACTTGGCGAGTTCCAGTTCCACAGCGTTCTTCCTGAAAACAGACAAGCCGGGGGAGCGTCGTCACCTTGTGCCAGAGGCATCTTGTTTTGTACCCGGGGCACCTGGAGTCCACAGAATGAGGAAACAGGCTCTGACCCCAAACTCACAACAAACAGTAACTGTAACAGAAACTGTGATGTTACTTGTAGAGGGCTGGAAACTTGGCAACGTGCTTTCACATACATTTTCTCCACCATTATTGGTCATCCCCAACTCACAGATGAAGAACTGGTTAAAAGAGGATGATACTTAAATCAGGACTGGAACCCAGAGGGGATCAAAGGCCTCAAATAACTCTAAGGAGCTGCTAATCCTTCCCCCAAAAGGCCAGTCCCCATGGAAGGTGGGGTCCCTGTCCTTCTGGTTCTTTTCTTTTCACTAGCAATCCCCCCTTAAAGGATCTGTCCTAAAGATACACATGTGTACAAAAGTAGCCACACAGTGATCATCACAGCTTGGCTAATCACAGTAGCCAACAACTAGGGGACTGGTGGTAAATTATATGATGGAATACAGTCAGCAACAACCATGACGTTGAATATCTACTGACAGTGGGGAAATACTCATGATGTATCGCCCAGGGGAGAAAAGCATCAGACCTCAGACAGGCTCTGACCCCAGAGTCACAACGGATAGTAACTCTAACAGTAACTATGCTGTTACTTCTAGAGGGCTGGAAAGTTTGCAGCTTTGCAAACGCTGGCCTTATGAAAAAAACCATCAGACCTTGTCTCACATCTAATATGATACTAGCTTTGCAGAAAAACTGCCTGTATTTGCAAGTCATACACAAAAACTTCTACTTGGTTGTTTCTGGATGCTGATCATTGATGGGTAACCACTCCTACACACTTTCGCATTTTGTATTTTTCACATTTTGATGTGTTTCACATGTTACTTTGTTTGCATTTCCCCCAAATTCCTAAATCACAGTTGTTCAATGCAAAAGAAGATTAACTTTTTTGGGGGCGGGGGAATGGGAGTACAAAGCGCGAGAGACTAACTGGGCAGCCTCTACGAGGAAGAACTGGTTGTCCAGCTGCCAAAATGAACATCACTTAGGCTTTGTCTTCATCAACTGCTACCTTTCGCATCTGAAACGGCAAAACTAACAAAAGTGTCCTCGTCGCACAAGGCCAGTGGCCAGTGCGCACGGCCCAAGGACCGCTGGAGGACCCGGCTGCACAGGCCGCCCCGCTCGGGCCTCTGGAACGCCGACCGCACCAGTGAAGCGCAGCCGTAAGCGGCGCAGTTGGGGGTCAAGCGCTAGGGCCACCGACTGGCACTTCCTCTCTGGCCTCAAGTCCACCGAACAACTAGTCACCTCCTCCGGCACACCGCCTGGGCCCAGAACGCCCCGCCCCCCACAGAAGCCGCTCTACACAGCTCGCCACGCGCGGTCCGCTCGCCCGCCCTGCAGCTGCGGGGACAGGCGCCGAGCCTGCCCAACGAGCGCCGGCGTCTCACACGCCGCAAGGCCGCCCCCCGTCACGCCCGCTGCCATTGGCTGGCGGCGAACAGCGGAAATCCTCGCGCGGAGCCAGTTGCCATGGACGCCCAGCCAGCCACCCCGCGTCAGAGCGTCCGAGCAAACCCCTGGCGCCCCGCGCGCCACAGCTTCACGAGCTTCCGGGCATCTCCCGGCAGGTGGCGCCACGAGCAGCCTGAGGACCCCGGAATGTGCTGACTAATGCCACCGGGCGGAGGGGCGGAGGTCCAGCAGCAGCGGCGACGGCCGCTCGGCTTGGAGGGGGTCCCCTTCCTTCCGGGAGCCCCTGAAGCAGGGCCCACCTTGCCGACCTCCTATCCCGGCCTCGGACTGCACCCTCGGGAACGGCTGCTCACTAGGGACTCCTGGTGCTTGTCATTCATGAGAAACCCCAGCCCAGGGAAGCAAAGCTGCAGAAGCCGCTGATACAAGGAATATTTCAAAGGGCTAGAATTTTAAAGGAAACCACTAGTAGCTGACTGCTTTTTGTTTTTGTAAGGCAGACTGTAGCCCCAGATTTTTGTTTTTAGTGAGGGCCTTTCACTTGCAAGGACATAAAATTGTTACTTAACTTTTCTGAAACTCGTCTATTGTATAGGATAAGGAACACTTTAAGGTTCTGGCAGCCCAGTGAAGGCAGGAAAGTTATTTTTCTTGGGGGTTCCCACCCCTGAGTACACATTAGAATCACGGGGTGGGGGCGGGGTGACATTTTTAAGAAGTAGCCCCAAACCCTGAGATTCAGACTGAATTGTTCTGGAGAAGGCCCTGGCATCTGGGGAGTTCCCCAGATGATTCTTTTTTTTTTTTTTTAAAGATTTTATTTATTCATTTTTTTTCCCCCCAAAGCCGCAGTAGACAGTTGTATGTCATAGGTTCACATCCTTCTAGTTGCTGTACGTGGGACTCGGCCTCGCGTTGGACGGAGAAGTGGTGCCTCGGGGCGTGCCCGGGATCCAAACCCGGGCCGCCAGCATCAGAGCGCGCGCACTTAACCGCTAAGCCACAGAGCCGGCCCCCCAGATGATTCTAAAGTGCAGCCAGGAAGGAGAATCAGAGATGATGTATATGAAAGCATCTCGTAAAACTCTTAAGGTCCTATACAAATGTGGTGTGGCTCCCCCACATTTAAATGATTCCTTAGGTCTGTTGTCTCAATTCTTGTACACCAAGAAGTTCATTTCTAAGGGATAGAAAAAGAACTATCCTCCTGGAGTGATCTGACACCCTCCCTAAGGGCCAGCACTTTCTATAAGGTCCAGGAAGGACAGGGGCCTCACTGCAGAGTTCTCCCCACCCAGGGAGGATAATTTGCAAATCAGCTTGGTCAGACTCCAGGAGGTTAACTGGGCTTCCTTTGACAGTAGGTAACGGTATGCATTTCCAAGTTTCATGGAGATTTGGTGGCCTCCTGTCACCTGGGTGTCAGAGCCGGGTTCCACTTATTTTAAGGGAGGAGGACTAGACAACGTGTTTCTTCTTCTCTCCTGCCCCCTGGCACTTTCTCTGGTTGTACTCTCACCTCCCATGCTGACGACAAAATATGGTCAGAGCCTGACGTTCAGGTCTCTTCTGGTTGTATAGCTGAGAGAAGGTGACCAACCAGTGTCTACTTCTAACTGCATTCTGCTTTTTATTCCCAATGGGCTTCCACAATTAGCATCTGCATTTTACTCCCTAATTGTATGACACAATTTCACCTTTTGTTCTTCATAAAAATATGCTCCCACTCCAAGATATCACACTGCTATTCAAGTATTCACTAATTAAATCCACTAGGAATCCAGTGGCAAAGATACATAGGTTTGTGAGCCTCACTGAGTGTAATTCCTAAATGAACTGGAAATTGACAGACAACCTGATATGAGGTTCTTGATCACACAGAAAAAGGGACCCAAAGGTAAAACTAAGAAATGGAGAGGACGAAAATGATAAAGCAGAAGGGGGGATAAATGTGTGTGGAAGTGAGAAGGGGGAAGGTATGGGGAATTTTAAAGTCAGAAATTAAAATGTGTCATATTTAAAAAGGCATATAGTGGGGCCGGCCCGGTGGCGCAAGCGGTTAAGTGCGTGCACTCCGCTGCAGTGGCCCAGGGTTCGCCGGTTCGGATCCCAGGCACGCATCAACGCACCGCTTGGCAAGCCATCCTGTGGCGGCATCCCATATAAAGTGGAGGAAGATGGGCACGGATGTTAGCCCAGGGCCAGTCTTCCTCGGGAAAAAAAAGTAGGAGGTTAGCAGAGGGCTATCTCCTCACAAAAATAAATAAAAATAAAAAAGCATATAGTATCTATTTACAAATTATTTCAAATGGGCTCCTTTTAGCTTCTCGAAAAGCAGCCACAGGGTAAGGGGAAAGGATGTGGCGACAGGAGTCAGAAACCTGAGGTGCGGGCCAGAGATCACCACGGGGGAAGTATCTCAGCTTTCTCATCTGTAAAATTGGGATTAAAAATTTTTACTTTTTGCTGTGGCTGGGAGGATTAAAGGATGATAGTGCTTTGTAAACAGTAAAGAGATACACAAGTGTTGTTATTAATGTGTTGTAAATCGCCCCAAAAGCAGACACGTTTTTAGTACCTTTTATCTCCTCACACTCAGTTGAACAGGGTAAATTGAGTGTATGATAAATAATTTACAGGGGGGTGGGGAATATATAAACATGTTGTACTTCCAAATTTTTTGAATGTAAGAGAATGCATTTATGCATTTCTTCTCTGCTAAAGAAAACCCAAAACATTATTTAAAAATGACCCAGTTTACTGGAAATACAGGGGACAGAGAAAAAATGTTAAATGACACTCTGGGGATGCAATCAAACTCAGAATGTAGAAAAACTATGAGACAAACGATCCAGTTTCTTCCATAAATAAACACAATATGACAAAAAAAGATGGAGGGGGAAGTGTTACAGACTTTTGGGATATATCACCTAAATGGAATATGCAGACTTCGGAGTCTGATTCTCATCAATTATAAAAAGACATTTATGGGACAACTGGGGAAATTTGAACACTGGATACTAGATGATATTAAGAAATTATTTAAGTTTTTCAAGTGTGATAGCTGTACTGTGGTTGTGTGTTTCACAAGAGTCTTTTTCTGGTTGAGATCTATGTTGAAGTGTTTATGGATGAGATGACATGATGCCTTGTGATGTACTTCACACAGTCCAGTGGGGAGGTGGAGGAAGGGGTGGGGACAGAGATGAAACAACACTGGCCATATGTTGATTAATGTTGAAGGTGGGAGACAGGTAGGTAGGGATTCATCCTATGTTTTCTACTTTTGTGTATGCTTGAAAATGTCCATAATAAAAAGTAACAAAACAACCTAAAAAAAACACAGTTGAGGTAGATATATATAATGAAATTGAAAAGCTTTGTAAGATATAAGCAGAAGAAAAAACAAGACACGTACAGCATCATCCCACTGATGTTTGAAAAAAACCCACAACAACTATATCACATATGCATCTGCATAGGAAAAAGATTTGCAAAAAATACACACCCAACTTCCAACAATAGTGTCTCTCTGGGGAGAAGAATGGGACTGGGGGGTGAAGGTGGGCAGCAGGGAAACTCACTTTCACTTTTGTATTCTTCTGTATAATTTAACTAAAATTGAGCATATATTCATGTTACTTGTTTTTTTTTATTATTTATTTATTTATTTGGGAGGAAGATCAGCCCTGAGCTAACATCTGTGCCAATCCTCCTCTTTTTGCCGAGGAAGACTGACTCTGGGCTAACATCCGTGCCCATCTTCCTCCACTTTATATGGGACGCCGCCACAGCATGGCCTGACAAGCGGTGCATCGGTGCACACCCGGGATCCGAAACCGGTCCGCCAGCAGCGGAGCACGCGCACTTAACCGCTATGCCATGGGGCCAGCCCCTCATGTTACCTGTAACGAAAGTAAAATTAAACAAGCTATGCCCACTCACTTTGCAATGGCCTCGTCCCGGTCCCTGATGGCCTTCTGAAGCTGTTCCTTTGGTTCCTTGTCCTCAGATGTCACTCTGAGTTGATCTCTCTCCTCCTTCAGTGCAGTCATCTCCACACTCAGCAGTGTCACCTAAGAGGAGACCAAAGGGATGAATGTGATGATATACCATTGCTGCTGGCCTAGTGTGTTTCCCTCCAACAGGGAGAAAGGAATAAGAAGACCCAGGCAGGGGCAGGCTGTGCAGTGCAGGTTGGTAGCTTCCCGCTGCCCCCTGCTCTGAGGGAGGCCCATCTCTCCTGGAGAACGGCTGCCACATACTAGGCTGGAGCTCAGTGGCCAGGGGGCTTGGGTGGAATTCAGCCCTGGACTGCAGCTATGGGGCCAGATCCCCTTTGTACGCACCACACCACACCACTTCCTCCATTTCAAGGCACTCCCAGGGAAATAATGAAGACCACCATTAATCAGGGCTCTGAAACACATTTTTGGGGATAGGGACTCAAGTTTTGTTTCCAGCCATCTTCCACTCAACATGGAACACTGCTATCCACAGGTCCCAAAGCCTGGGACCTGGCTCCCATTTCTGTGACAGCACTTGATGCAGCCTGGCCCTTCCATCTTCTTCATTCAGCTCCCCAGGTCAAACCTACATGGAATTTAGACACCTAAATGATGTTACCACCTTTCACTTCGAACCTGTTACCTTTTCTGTGGTCCATCCCTCAGTGAATGGCACCACAGCCCATATTCACTCGGAGTCATCCTTCGGTGGTGAGGTGCCCCTCCTAGTGGTTCCTTTGGTGACCACAGCTTACCTCACCCACTGTATAGTAACCCCCTGTACACCTTGAGCTCTGAGATGGCAGGAAGCATGTCCTAGCCATCTGTGCATCTTAGAGCCTGACTGCGTAAGATGCTTAATCCCAAAACACTTGTGCAGTGGACAGTTGTCATTTTTGGCTAGTCATCATCTAAAGCCCCTTCCTATTTTGGGGGCATTCCAGGTTGCATGAGTCTTGGTGGGAGACAGGGCATGCCCTCCCACTAAAGAAGCCAAAAGGGGAGAGACATATCCTTTCGTAGGCACCTGGGCATGGGCATGTGACTCAGACTTGCTAGTCACACCTCCTACCTGGGACTGCAGCTCTTGAGGGTACAGCAAAGCCACGGGCCAGTGGGAAATTATTATACCAACAGCAGATTGTTTCTGCTGCCTCACTTCCCATGGCTCCCCCATGTTTTGGAGCTCAGCTGTCTGGCCTTCCTGTTGATTCTGTAAGCTATGAGATTTAATACCAATACATTCTCTTTCTGCTTAAGTTAAGCAGAGCGAGTTTCTGTTGTTTGCAACCAGAGACTCTTCCTGGTAGAGCTTTCAATAAATATTTGTTGAATGAATGGAAGGGTGGGAGGACTGAGCTCTCACAGTCGATAGGATCAAACTGGAGTCAGGATACCTGATCCTGCCCTCTTGTTAAATATTACATACTTTGACATATTTCCAAGGGAGGATCCATCCATACAGGTCTGTCCCTCCCATAAGGGGACAGACGTCACCTTTCAGCATACTCCTCTGCTCTTCAAGTCCCAAGTCTAATCATCTTCAGACAAAATGAAACTGAGCAAAGGCCCCAGGACTAAGGCTGAAGATCAAGTTTCCCAAGAGACACTTTGGACTCCCCAGACTGAGAGAGCAGAGTTGCCAGCTCCTGGGGTAGCAGGCACTAGGGAGGAAATCAGAGGACACTCAACAATGAAGCAGGATATGGGACAATTTGTAGTTACCACGGGCAATGGATTTTGCACTCTTAAGTGCCTGGAAGGGAACGTCAGGACCTGGTGCTCTGTGCTTTCATGGTGGGAACAGCTCCAGTGAGCAGGGTGAAAGGCCTTAGGTAAGAACAGGCTGGGGCACCTGCAGAGGCCACAGCACGCAGAGGCAGCCAGCCCCGAGGCAGACGAGGCAGCAGGTAAGACGCCCAGCCTTGCCCTATTTCTTAGCAGGTTCTGCAGCCTGGTAGGCCAGAACTCAAGACCCAAAAAGCACCTGGCAGAGACAGCCAGACCTCCTCAGACCAAATGAGCACTGACATGGCCTCGGGCCAGCCGTGGGCCAGCCAGGTGTTCTGCCAGCTGAGTCAGCGACAGATCAAACTACATGCTAGGCAGGAAATGCCAACATTTAACATGTTCCAGATAAAACTCCACAAGAACCTTTTGCTTTGGCCTGGAAAACCTGGTTAATGTAGAGACCACCAATGATCTGCCTTAGAAGTGACAAGGAACTTACCCTCTCTGAGCTGCACATACTTTTCATAAAAAGCAGAAATAAAAATAACTATTCCCCACCATCAAGTTGTTGTGAGGATCAAAGGGGATAAATACCATCAAGGGCCCAGGTCAGAGCCCAGCACAGGGGTGGAAGCTCCACTCCCTTCCCCCCTCTCCAGCCATGCGGGAGCTACGTGCTGATGGCTGCCATTGATCGAGCTTGTTTACACACTGACTTAGGTTACAGCCACCCCTACATCCACCTTTCCCAAATAAGGTGGGTGCCCTCGCAACTGAATAGCATCAAAGAAAACATCCTAAAGTCACATATCCTGGGCTTTATCTGCCCTTTCACTCGACAGTTATTTGAGTGCCTACTCTAGGTAAGGCACTGTGCTAGGCTCTTTAGGAGAAGAAAAAAGACACGTCAGACCTCGAGCTTGTCATCGTGGGGGTCTAAGGCTTGACTGGGAAGATAAGTTGTAAACACAGGCAACCACGACAAAGCAGGGCTGGGGGGCTCCATGAGGAAGAGAATCAAGAGAGTTTCAAGGAGGAAGTGAAACCTGACCAGGAACTTGAAGGATGACTAGGGCTGAGATATGTGCAGGTGGCAGGGGAGAGTCTTCTAGGCAGAGAGAAAGAGTCAGAGAAAAGACTCAGGTGTGGGAAAGCATGGGGAGTGTGTGCCATGCCCTTTTACAGCCTTTATACAATTCTGCTAAAGCAAAGGAGGTGAGACAGAAACAACAGGGAAGAAGCTTGGATGGCTGGAATGTAGCCAGACCGTGGCGGCCATGAGGCCTAGAGGCTTCCCACTACTTGGTGATGGGAAATCAATCCAGAACTTGTCTTAACAGGGGTCCCTTTTAAAGTCATGCTTCAGGAAGATCAATCCAAATCACGTGGAGGGTTAGTGGGCTGTGGGAAGGCAGATAAACTGGGAAGTGACAACCAAAGCCAGGGTGTGAAAGGATGAAGGTCTGAAACAGGGCAGTGGCTGGAAGGATGGAGGAAAGAGAACATACTGAGATTTTCTAAACGAAAGGTCACCAAGATTTCATTAGTGAGGGTCTTCACTGCTCCCAGTACATGTTCTCCTGTGTTTTCACGCCCCTTCTGGAATAACTGGTCTGCGCTTCAGAAGTCAAGCATAAAGGAGCCAAACGACTGTGCCTCCCACGACCTGGTTTACTGGGCAATGGCTGAGGGGCCCCATGGATAAGGAGGTTTTATATTGCTCTGAAGGTCCTCCCTACCTCCCAGCAGCTCTCCAGACCCCACAGCCAGCCCCCACCAGGCAGGGGCCTGGAGAGCTTTGGGGAAGGGAGGAGAGGGGTGGGGGGGTAGGGAGGGAGCTCTCCACAGCACACTTGAGGATGTGGGGCAAGTCTTTAGATCTGCCTACAACCTGGCTATGGATTTTTGCCTCAAACAGATAATTATCAGTGAAATTAAACCTGGGCTCTCTTTTAGAAGAAATTAGTGGTTACCAGAGGGGAAAAGGGTCGGGGGGGAGGGCAGGCAAAAGGAGTAGAGGGGCACATATATACGGTGACAATTAAAAATTAGACTATTGGTGGTAGGCATGATGCAGTCTATACAGAAACTGATAAATAGTAACATACACCTGAAATTACACAATGTTATAAAACATTATGACCTCAATAAAATAATTGGGGGGAGGGGACCAAAACCCGGGCTCTCTTTTATTTAAAAATTTGGGTAGGCTTCTGAGGGGGTAGTGTGCTGCTGGTCACTTCACTTTCCAGGCCCCACACCTTTGACCTGTGGCCTAGTTTCCAGGAGAGAAGAGAGCACTCTTAGGTAGGAAAGCAGTGGGCTTAGGGGCTGGGTCATCCACGGGATGAGGTGTGACCCTAGTCTAGCAGCTGTTTGCTGGAACCTCGGTTCCAAGGGTACAAAGCTGGTCTGATTCCCCTCAGGATACTGTGAGAGGCCCTGGGCGCAGGGGCACCGTCATCGTCATCCTGTGCCTCCCAGGGTCTAGCAGCACAGACCCCGGCACGTGCTGGGTACTCAGTAGGCTCTGAACTAACTGCATGAGGAAAGTCGTGCCCATGCAACGGCTGCCATTTCCGGTATCATTTTGGAACTCAATCTGCATCTCACCCACGGCCTTGGGAGGTCAGTGTTACGCCCACGGCATGGTTTTGGGCGGATGTAGTTTAGCTGAGAAGTTCGCTGCTTTGACTGAGCTTCTGGGAAGACATGACCCATGGGAGAGGCCTAGTTCTATATCCTGTGTGGGACTGAGCATAATCATCTGCTTGATGCACTATCTGAAAGGGAATCCACAGGAACTGGCCTAAACCAGTTATTAGCTGAACTTTTAAGGAAAATTCCCTGGTGGAGATGATTTCCTAAATAGTTCCACACCAGACTCTCAGCAACCTATACCTTGCTTATGTTTCTGAATGAAATAATGCCCTCTGGTGTTTCTAGTTTTATGATTCTGAGAAGCAACAAAACAAAAAACCAGCCAATATCAAAGAGCTGATAAGCAGAAGCAGCCCACAGAAATTTAAACAGGCTGTAAAATAAATAAAACTGTTATTAATCCAAAGAGCTTTTAGATCCACTTTCTCCTGCATTTTATTCTTCCAGGTTGGAAGATCTGTCCCTAAGTCTGAACCACCTGAGGGTCAGAGGTTTTAGGCACGAGAATGTCTTTGGCTGCCCAATCCCACTCCCCAAGGCTTTTCTTCAACAGCATCTTTCTGTCCTCCTTATCTGGTCACTCACAGAAAGAAGAGCGCAGTAACGGCTGGGGGTGGGTCTCCCAATATCTTCTAAAAGGATAATATTAGGAACCCTAATGGGTACAACCCCAAAAGGACAGGAGTTTATTTCTATAAGGTCCTGTAAATTGAAGAAATACTGACTGAAGCAAAAGCCAGGCTTCAATTCCATCTCTCAGCAATGTCGTTTAGCAAGAAGGGATGACTAGCTTTGGACAAAGAAAGAAGGGGGCAGGCTGGGTGGGGCAGGGTTTAAAATGCTACCTGTTTGGTGTCCCCCACAAGTGGGAGAGAACCTCTACACACGACCCTAGTCAAAAGGAAGAGCCTTTATTCAACTCCTAGGATAAATTTTAGAAGCTCCTTTCTGGGTGGGGCTGCTCATAAGCCCTTTAAAACTTTTCAGATCAGAATATATAAATGTCCTTTCTCCAGTGTTCTCAAGAGAGATGAAATCATGATCAAATAGGAAAGGAACAGCGAGAGTAGCAGTAAGTGCGTCTAAAGCTGAAAAACAGGCTGGCAGAGGTGATGGCACTTACAGAGAGAGAACAGGCCTGCAAAGATCAATTGTCCCCTGGTTTGCAAACTTCCCCACACAGAAGCTCCTGGAAAAACATCCATAAGCATCCTGGGAGCTGTGGCACTTTAAACTGTCAGAATCCACCAGATTATTACGCTGGAGGAAATGCAGGGTCAGCTATTCTTATCCCTGACAATCTACTTTGGGCTAAACCAGAGAATTGGCTTCTTCTCCTGAAGACACCCAGCTCACCTCAACTTCAGGTCACCCTCCCCTGAATCTGCTAGAGGAGAGCCGCTTCTCAAACAGACGCGGAAGAGAGAAACTCACAAAGGTCCCAAGAGAGCCCGGGGACACGTGCACATTCCCTGCACTGGAGTGAGGATGGGGGTGCTCACCTGTGTGTGGAGTCGCTGCAGTTCTTCTAGGCTTTGCCTCAGTTTACCCCTCTCTCCCTCCATGAGTTCCCTTAGGGCTCTTGAATCCTCACTGGTTTGCCTTATCTGTTCTTCTAAGGAGTCATCGTCAATTCTCCGGGAGCTCTGACAGCAAGAGAGAGCCGGCCAACCAGAGAGATGGTGACAGTGGAGAGGAGCAGAGAGATGGTTAGTGGGCAAGATGGAGAGGAGAGAGGGGAGAGTTGGGGAGGGTAGAGGGAGCGATGGGGAGGGGAAGCGGAGAGATGGTTCAATTCAAGGGACAGCAAAACAGCAGAGGAGACGAGGCAGAGAGCGAGAGAAAGGAAGAGGAGAGACAAAGGAGGGAAGAAAGAAAGGGTTAGAGGAGAGAGATTCTCTTGCTCAATTTCAATCTGCAAACAATAGCTAGACATTTATTTTATTTTTGTTTCAGGCTTCAGGGAAGGGAAATTGTGTGCAGTAAACAGCACACCTCACTCTGATAGCTCCCTTTTCCCACAGTGACCTGGCCTCCATGCTACAATACATTCCACAAACCAATACAGCACGTTCAGATAAGACAACCACCCCTTCACCTTACTTCACCTAATACAGGCAGAAAGACACAACTACTCTGCAGGGGATGAAAGCTGAAGAGAAACAACAGCCTGAGAGCCAGGAGGGTGAAAGGAGAGTAAGTCTGGCAGAAATCCGTCGTGAAGCTGCAAGAAATGAAAAGTCTGCCCAGGAAACCCGTGGGAACGTTCCCCTCCTCCATGAGAGGAGCCACATCTGGAATTCTACATGGCCCTTGCTGTTGAGCTTCCCAACTTTCTGCACTCACTTATATTCTTGTAGCAGAAGCTTCAGATCTTTTCAGTTTGCTTATTCATCACTAACCCCACCACTAGGATCAATGGGCTACAGAAAAGTAACTCGCAGCTTTTACCTGGCTTCAAATTTAACTATTCAAAGCTTCCAAGGAAAGCCCTTGAACTCAATGCCACCATGGCCTGTACATAAGTAAATGGACAAAGGACTCCATTTGTATCTGGTGTCTGCAGGAAGATGACCGCGGAGCCTTCTGTTCTCTGGCACTCAGCCCCTCTGCCTGATCACCACTATTCTCAAACAATGAGGGCTCAGAAGAAATTCTTGCAGCTTTTATAAGGCTCCAGTTCCAGGGTTAACCTCACCCTCTGCACTTGGTTTCAACCTCCTACTAGCCAGGTCGTGTGGGGTAAGGAGCTTCTCAGCCTGGCCTCTTACCGTGGGCTCCACGCCGTCCACAACGCTCTGTATGAGTCTCTTGAGCTCGCTGAGGGCAGTGCGCAAGCTGCCGGCTGGCACATCCTTAGCAGAGGAGGTTTCTGAAGACTCGTCCATTGAGGAGTCCGTGGAGACAGCCGAGTCAGCACTGTCATTTCCTCGAAGGTGTGAGCAGAGATAGCGAACCTGGCAGTATGCTTCCCAGAGCTGTAGTCTCAGCTGCCCCACAAAGAATTATTCTTGGTTATGGACTCTAGAAAACCTGGTCATCTTTTCCTAGCGTATGAACCCAAGCTATTGATACCCAAGATACTAGTTCTAGGAGAAAGCTGTTTGTTTTATTTAAATCACCTGTCCCAAGAAATACCAATACTTATTCTGGGCCCAGTATGTCTATACAGAACTCCCAATTCTTATTTTCCTTGCCCTCTAGTCTCTCCCATTTGCCATATAAAGCATTTCTTTATATAGTCAATTACTTTGGTGAGTCAGTGCATGATTAGGGGAATGAGTGGTTATGAGTATTATGAAAAGAAACCAATTGGATGGATCATGAATGTTCTAGAACCCTGTCAATACAAGAGGTATGAGGCTGATGATTAGTCAACAAGCATTTCCTAAGACGCACCGGGGTGACAGTGACGCAGGGACATGCTTGGTCAGGGCCTGCTTCATGACAGCTCTAGCCAGCAGGCCCAGGGGCTTGCACAGGCGCAGGGCCACAGCCCCTCGCCAGGCGGAAGCGGAAGCAGCAGGCACTGGGCAACAGGAGGACAGAGGGGAAAGCCACGTGCCGTGGCGACGGGGGTATCAGCACCTGCTCCCTCTCCTGCTCCAGCTCCTCGGCCTCCATGCTCTGCTCTATCTCGGACAGCAGGGACGTGCTGGTGGCGGCAGAGCTCTGCAGACTCCTCTCCTCAGTGAGCTCCTCCACCTTCACCTGCAGCTGTCGGTAGGAGAGCCGCACCTCCTGGAGCTCCAGCTGGCTTTGATGCAGCTTTCAGAGAGACAGCAAATGGTAGCGAGGCTTGCCAAAACCCAAAACCAGAAAAACTGAACCCGATCATGCTTCTCGGTCCAATCACCAACTTACAGAAAAATACAGAGGAGAGAGGAACATGCTAGACTACACTAGGGGGATGCAGTCAGCAAAATCTAGGTTTGGAAAATTCTATAGGACAACCGCTCAGTTTCTTTAACAGATAAATTTTAAGGAAAAAAAAAAAAAGATAACAGGGGAACCTACAGGTTAAAAGAGACTTGAGACATATCAACCAACTGCAATGTGTAGGCCTAAAATTTGTATCTTGATTCAAATGAAAAATGTGAAAAACAATTATGACATTTATAAGACAATTGAAAATTTGAATACTGACTAGATATTTGATGATGCAAAGGAAATATTGCTCATTTTTTTTAGATGTAATAGTCCTGTGATTACATGTTTTTAAGTTTTTATCATTTAGAGGTATTCTTTATTTATAGATGAAATTATAAAAAATCTAGAATTTACTTCAAAATAATACTAGAGAAGCAAGTGGATGTAATGAAGATGGGGCAGGTCTTGCCAGGGCAGGATGGTTTGTAGAGCCAGGAAATGGGATACATGGGGCATTATTATTACCATTCCATTTTTTAGTTTGTCTGAAATTCTCCATAACAAAAAATTAAACACACACGTGCACGCGCGCACACACACACGCACAGTAAGATACCATTAGACTCTCACCAGAATGGCTAAAATAAATAAGTAAATAATAACAAAATAAAAATATCAAGCGCTGATGAAGACATGGAACAACCGAAACTCTCACCGCGGGTGGCAGTGGAAGATGTACAACCACTCTGGAAAGCTGCTGGGCAGTTTCTAGTGAGTGAAACATAGCCCTATCCTATGATGCAGCAGTTCCGCTCTCAGGTGCAGACCCAACACAAATGACCACATATGTTCACGAAAGAAAAACAGGATGTTCACAGCAGCATTATTCATAAAAGCCACAAGTGGGCAAGAATCCAAATGCCAATAAAACAGAATGGACATATTCACACGTTGGAATACTATACAATAGTGAAAAAAGAACACTGTTACTACATGCCACAACATGGACGAATTTCACAGACATAATGTTGAGCAAAAGCCAGACATAAAACAATATATAATGTATGATTCCATTTATAAAAAGTTCTAAAACTTCATTGATAGATGAGATGAAAGGCAGAATAGAGGTTTGCTTTTAAGGAAGCGGCAGCGTATTGACTGGGAGGGGGCAGGAGGGAAGCTTGTGGGGTGCTGATAATGGGCTACATCTTGGTCTGGGTGGTGGTTACACAAGTGTACATATTTGTAAAAATTCACTGGGCTGTCCACTTAAGATTTGTATGCTTTACTATACGTATGTTGTATTCTAATGAAAAAATTAAGGGGAAAAGGATTGTTTAGAAAGGAGTGGGGGGTGAGATTTGGAGTAACGTCTGGGTAGTAACAGCAAGAGTCCCCAAACCCACGGGAAAAGCAGTCTCTCTCTACTTTCTGTGTCATACCTCCTGGTTTACAGATAAGGCCATAGGCCTCGGAGGGGCCTTACTCAGCCTCTGAGGCTCAGAGGAGAGTGATGCCAGTGGCAGAGAGGGGACAGCAATGCAAGTATCACGACTTACAGGCCAGGGCTCCTTCCCTCTCCCCCGCTGCCGCTACCTCATCCCTCTCTGCATTCGCTGTGGCCCTTCCTTCCCTGTGGAGTCCAAACAGGGCACTGTGACCTGCTGAGGTCACTACTGCTGAATGTAAGGGACAACCGTACCACGGCTGCTAACGCCATGCTCTCACTAGCGCACTTATCACTACACCTGCTTTCAACACAACAGACCTCAACTGCAGAATCTGAATCCGTCTGCTAACCAGATGCACGTGTCTACGTACTACCGCCGCACAAGAGCAATGCTTCCCACTCTTGTATTTGTGGACTGCCCCCTCCCACCTTTTAAAAGATTTTTTTAGGAGTGGGATGGGGGAAGAACTTCCTGGGATTTAAATTTAACTAATTTAGCCTTTTATAAAATAGCATTTCTGGGGTCATCCCTGTTCATTAAAAATAAAGCGGACATGGTACTGCCTTTTCCAGACTGTTGGCCAGGTGGGCTTGTGGCTCCTGCAGAGACGCAGAGAGCAAGGGGTGGCAGGCAGCAACTCAGAGCTCTGAGTACTTATAAATGGAGAAAGCTGTCTTGCAGAGCCTTCAGCCAATCCTTTAGGTGCCCTGGGAGTCTCACCTCTGCTGGTCAGCATCAGTTGGCTAATGGCACTGGTGGTCTGGATGCACCTTATCTAGGAAGAGTTTGGAGGCTGGGTACTCAGAGAATGAAAAAGGAATTGGCGAGCCTGCTCTGTATAGTTTCCATGGATCAGCCAACTGCTGGTCCCGTGGGAACTCCTCCAGCCCCAGTTTTGAGGAAACTCAGGAAGAAAAAATTAGGGTTAAAAAAAAAAAAAAAAAGACATTCCTAGGAAGCATTTGGCACAATTACAAACAGCATACTAAACTGGCAAAATGCTTTACAATTATTTTCTAGACAACTCCACATACATCTCAGCAGGAGAAGTTCAGCACAGACAAGTACAAGTTCTTATGCACCAAACAAAATTAGTTCCATTACTCATGCACACTCAAAGGTGCTTAATTACTTATAACAGCAAAAGAACAAAAGACCAGGACAAGTCTGCCCTCTCTAATCAATAACTGATCCACAGACATATGCGGAAAAATTGAACCAAACCAGGGAAGGGTCTATTAAAATATAAGAACCCTCTAAAATAAGAAATATCATCCTTTATATAACAAAGATGACACTAAACATATTTATATGTATGAACAAAGAAAACACCAAATGCCTTGTGTTTGCACAGTATACTAAGGTCAAGCTCACATGTCTCGACAGTTGCCAGAAATGGGGGCACTCTCCCCATTTTACAGTGAGGGAATTGAGATGGTGTGATGTTAAGTGATTTGCCTAACGGTACAGTCTCAGGTGTCAGAGCAAGGTCTAGACTTCAGGTCACCTACTTCCTAGGTTGCCCACAGTGAGTGGGCCTGTGCCCTCTGCTGATGAAATTGGGATGAGGCCCTGCACACATGTGTAAGATGCCCAGCTGGGTATGAAATAGGGCAGTTAAGTGGCCGTTAGAGGGACAAAATCCTTTAATCGGTATTAAGAGTTTAGCAAAACGCCTGATTTTTTAATTTATTGGGTGCTAGATAAATAATAATTTTTATCCCTATTCTCAGCCTAAAAAAACACCAGAGTTGGATTTGATCAATGATTTAAAAATCTGTGTTTGACAGCAGAACCCAAATTACACAGTGAACCAGATCAAAGGAGGGCTACCCTGGTCGTGGCAGGCCTGTTGCCCTGCCTGCTCAGCCTTCCTCTCATCCTCATCTGAGGAAAAGGATTAAAATCATGGGATTACACACATTCCAAGGTCACTAGCTCTATATTTTACAAGCCTGATTTAGGACCATTCAGCTACCACCTGAGTAAGCTGGAATTTTTACCTCTGTACCAATACAGGCCATTTTAGGAACAGACAGGGCTTTCTGGAGGACACTGGTAATTGGCAGCAGGTTAAGGAGAGTTTCATATGAATTGAAGAAAAAGAATTACAAATAGTTGGCAAAGATGAGAATTCAGCCCACAAATGCAGATTTTCCAAATCAAAGTGGGAATTACCTAACTTGATGCAGGCCCTGGGGTGAGTGATACTCTCTCATTCTCAAAGAAGTCCAACAGAAAGACAGTGGATGTGCAGATGGCGAAGATGTGAACGTGGCGTGACTTGGGAACGCAGAGCCTACAGCGCCAGCCAGGTACTGGATGGTCCACGCTGGTCCTGGCTGTTCCCCATCCCCACGTCCCCAATTCTTGATTTGAAATAAGGACTTCTCATTTGTGAATTCATGTTAGACTGAAAGTCTCTTTTAGGCAGGGGCCATTTTCCCATTTTTCTGTACTTCTTTTCCTTCTCCTCTCCATACTCTACCCTCAGCAAGGGTCATAAATGCTGGTGAAACACTGACTTGCAGAGGCAGTGATAGGCTAGAAGTTATCACTGAGCACCAGGTAAAGTAGGCGGGAAGGTTCTACCGTAGATTTTATCAAGGACTTACTACACTACTTTGGACAAACGATTCATTTTTTGGACAAACGATTCATTTTTCCTAAGCCTCAGTTTTAGAATGTTTGCAAAAGCACTCTGTTCCCTGTAAAGGAGCACACAAATGTTCACTGCTATTATCATCATCAAGCTTAAAATATGAGCAAACTCTCTTCCATCTTGAAAACTGTGCTGAGGGTTTTAGCCAGCATCATTTTCTATTCAACATTTTCTGAGGCCCTACTATATGCAAAGTTCTGAGCTGACGGTACAAAAAACACGGAGGGAGCAAAATCACTAACTTGCCCTTAAAGAGGTTAATCACTCAGATGGCAGCTTAGCTGATGGTGTAACAAGTGATCTTACCCTAAGACATTTCTTTTTTTTTCTTGAGGAAAATTTGCCCTGAGCTAACATCTGTGCCAATCTTCCTCTATTTTATATGTGGGTTGCCGCGACAGCATGGCTGCCGAGTGGTCTAAGTCCATGCCTGGGAACTGAACCCAGGCTGCCAAAGCAGAGCATGCCGAACTTAACCACTAGGCAATGGGGCCGGCCTCTAAAATGTTTCTTTGTCCCACACCCCAGGGCTTGCCTCAACAGCTGGCCGCTGGACCCAGTGCGGCCTTCTGTGGCCTGGTCTCTGGGCAGGGACCCACCTGGTGCTCGAGTATACCTGGCTGACCGCCTCCACACGAATGACTGTTGCAATCTACTCCACTCCCTGGCACACTCAACGGATGCCCAAGGGGAAGCAATGCACTCTTAGCCACTGACCCCAGTTGCTCTTAGGCCAGCCCAACAAAACTTTCTTGGTAGCAGATGCTACACTCTATTTCGGGGGAGGCTGGGAGGGATTATCCTTTTGTTTAGGGGGTTGTTTCTTGTCAAGTGTAAGCTTGGGGATATAGCTGAGGCCTGGTGGCAGTTCCCAAATAAGGACAAATATGGCCATGAAGCAATTTCCTTCAGGAAGAAAAAAGAGGCTAATTAGGCTCACACAGGGGTCAGCCTGTGCCTTTTCTAGCAACTGGCAGAAGCAGGATATAAGTCTTGCTGTGTTCAGTGGGCAGCATCTTGGTTTCTGCTCAGTGCCAGCCAACTAATTGCATCAGCCTGGGAGAGCAACAGCAGAGAGCATTGTAAACTGAGCACATAAAGTCACAAGCTCCCTCTGAAATCTCTAGCAGGTTTCACCAACCCTAGGAGGCAGAATGACACTCCTGGTGTTCCAGCCATGTTAATAGCCCAGAAAGAACTCTGTGAAACTGCTCCAGGGGCCAGTGGCTCAGAACAAATTGAAAGGATGACCTGTGGGTAGCGATGCATTTCTTCTCAGCAGAGCCAGACTGGCCAAGTTAGTGAGTATCCGAGGTGAACTACAACCAGGCCTGCAGAGAGACCTCAGCCTCCCCGACTCCTGACCTTGGTGGTGGCACTGGCCTCTCAGCCTTTCCTTTTGGCTAGGCAGCTAAGCGCTCCTTTTATCTGGCCCTTGTCCTACAGGACTGCTTTTCTGCCCTAGTACCTGTAGGTCTTTGTCATGGCCCTGCCTCTCCAGGATCAGCACCCGGTCCTGTAGCTCCTCCACGGTCCCTTGGAGCAGGTCATTTTCCTCTAAGGTGGCGCTGAGACGATGCTCCAGCTCCCGTTTCCGATCCGACAGCATCTTGATCTGAAAGGGTAGAGAGCCACAGGGGTGGTGTGGAGTTACACCCGGGCTGATGAGTAGGAAGGGAGGCACTAGCCCCCAAACTTGAAGGCATGGGTCTCTCCAAGTGCTCTGCCCAGGGGCCTGGTGCCCCCATCTCTGAGAGAACAGCTGTGAACTCCTAAGCTGAATAGAAAATCCCTCCCCTCTAGAAACCTGTCTGGGAAGGGGTGGGAGTTAAGCTCTGGACAAGCTGGAATGTGGGATGCCAGGCAGAGGAAGGGATTGTTAGTGTTCTGGAAATTCCACAGATAAGACAGAGAAGGGCCTCACCTTGTCTGCTCATGACTTTACCTCAACTCCACAATTAATGGGGGAGTGGAACCTAACCTGCTGTACCATTCTTCCTTCTCAAGTCATGAGCACAAGAAAATACCCAAGATAGCCTCTGGAGCCACTTATTTTGATGTTCTACGGGCTCTTTCTGTCCTTTCCCCACTGCTAGCAGGTCTGGCTCTAGAGGTCACAGTTTAGACTCGATGCCCTGAGTTAAGGTGGGGGCTAGCAGGATACAGAAAACACAGCAGTGCCTGCATCAGCCTGGGTCCTGGGAAGGAACACGACACAGACACAAGCAAACAACTGATTTTATTCAAAGTATCTTTTGCTTGAGCAAGTAATTTGTAAATAGAAGCCATTTCTTTCCTTTTATTAAACAGGCTGGTATGTTTATACACTGAGTATCTAGCCAGTCTCAAGAGAGACATAAATCTCGTTTTAGAAAGATCTGTCTAGCCTCTTTAGTTTCAGTGAGAAAACAGAGGAAAAGAGGAAAGAAATGCAAAGTCTTCCGTGGCCTCAAGGTCTGCAGGGTGAGAAGCTGCACTAGCACTCCCCAGGGCCAGCGATGCTTCACCCCAAGAACACTGCCCTGCTCAGGGGGTATAGGAAGTCTTCCCAAGTCCCTCCAATTGCTAGAGGCCATGGGGGACTTTTGGAATCCTGTGGGTCCCCCTCCCATTTACCAGTTCCCTGTTGGACTGATCTCTCAACCAGCTTCTTGCTTGTAAATATTCTCCTGATGTGGTTAAGATGTTTTCCACGATCTTTAGTCTAGCGTGGATAACAATTCACTAAGGGGACCAACCTCAGAAGTTTTCCAGTGGAGATTTTGAAATGAACATCTAACTTGTCCCAAGTCCTCTGAAATCCACCTTTCTGTCTGCTTTTTGGCTGTTCTTACTAGAACAGTTCTCTAGTTCTCTCTGCACTAGAATTCTGTTCACGGGGCACAGATCTTCCTTGGCCTCAAATCAATCAGATAGGATGCCATCCTGGGGAAATGAAGTATGTGGCCATTGTCCAAGAGATCAGGTATCTGGCCAAACAAAGAAATACTGACTCTCAAGTGTGCACCTGGGTAAGGGACCAAAAGGAGCAGGGCCCTCTTGTGAAAGGGCCCACTATTCCCCACACTGAAGCAACGTTACCCACGTGAAGGGAATTCTTACTCCAGTTGATTTTCAATTAAATGCCCTCTGACCTTTACATTTTCTTATGGATAATCTTTGTTTGCCAAGTTCCACTCAGTGAAGCAATGAGGTAATACAGTTCTGATACACAACACAACCCTGGTCCCTTAAAAAAACTTAGAAGTTCAGAGTTACATGAAGTAACTTATTTGAAATGAACAACTTCATAGCTCGGCTTTTAAAAGTAGCAGTGTTATTGGACGAAGCAAGGAATCGGCATTAGGCAGCCAACTCCCTCACCCCACCCTACACACCCTGAAACCTGTGACCAAATCTGGCAATAAACATTCCTGGGAATGAACCTGTGTCACAAGGGTCTAGAAATAGTGAGTGGGGGGGTGGGGGAGAGGAAGACAGGCAACTCGAAGGAGCCAGATCTTGTCAGAGGCAGCTGAACGGCAAGTCATGCACACAAATGGTCACAGACAGGCATGCCAAACCCACCAAACCAACTACTTACTTCAAGAACCTGCTGCTCAATACCAGTAGGAATTCCAAGGGAAGGGACAAAGGAAGGGAATGAGAGGCAGGAGAAAAGAGAAGATATTGACAGACTTTAGGAAAAACATCTTCAGGTCATTTAGAAGAAGGGGAGCAGTCATCTGGGCTTCTCTGGGCCTGACCACGCTGGCTGATTCCTTAACCACAGTGGGGTGCACATTCATCTGGCCTGAGACTGTCCCTCAAAGTGTAACTTAGCTGAAGGGCTGCTGTTCAGACACTTAGCTGAGGGGTCCTCAGGGGCAGATTAGGTGGAAGCCTCCCCAGGGGACAGCCCCTGTTTGGGCTGGTGATATGACCCTCCCACAACCAGACTCTCACAGTATTGTCCCCTAAGTGCTATTTTCTTTTTCCCTCTGGCCCACTCAGGGCCACAGACCCTGCCTAGCGTCTCATATGCTTTTACTAATATTACTCTTTTCCAAACATCACACAAAGTGCTTTCTATGTATTAACTCATCGAATCCTCACAACAACCCTATGAAGTAGACACTTCTACGACTAATTTTATAGGTGAGAATAACAGGCCCTATTAGGGTGGACTGAACTGGACCCAAATGCAATGCAGAAAGAGAAGATTCCCTCTCTCACCTTCTATTTAGGATTGGCAAGGATGTTGTTGGAGGGATCAACATATTCAGTAAAAAGCACGTCACTCATGATTTCAACACACTCAACTTTGGGCAACCTTATTTTTCCAGACGACAGGCTACCCAGAGGAACATGGATCAAATGTTCCCCATTTAGTTTCTCACAGATATGTCTCTCTAGAGATTTAAGATAGAGCAGGTTTTTGTTTCCCAGTTGAGAGGGTTCCTTATCCAAAAGACGCAGGGTAGCATCTCCAGTGAGAAGCAATTCCATCTCCAAGCACTGCCGCAAAGGGAGGCTCACCTCGGCCTGAAGGCTTTCGAGCCGGATGATGTGCTGGTTGGTTGAGGAGTTTTTCTCCCTGAAGTCTTCTCTGAGGGCATGGACCTGCATGGAGAGTTGTCTCTCAACTTCTGATGCCTGCAAGCAGAGAAGACCTTCAGAGCCGATTCAGAGGTTGTGTCAAGCAAGTCTGTTCAGATTTCTGCCTTTCATTTCTCAAGCATCTCTTTGCAAGTCTCTATTCTATAAGGAGTACAGGATGAGATGCTGGGTTCCTACCCCTAGTCCATTTGTTCTCTAGCGCCCAAACAAGACAAACCCCATCCCCACCTCCACCATGAATGACTCTGTCTAGGTCCAAGAGCACTTTGCTGATCAGAGGAAACAGGCCTAGGAATTAGTAAGCTCTCAAATGTTAGTTATCATCATTATTACTCTGCACATAGTAGAAGCTCAGCAAATGGCTATTAAATTGAAAGAAAGTCTCAGTATTTTACATGAAAGAATAAGACAGATATACCTACTACCCTAGAAATTCCTTTATTTCTCCCATCCATTTCCTCAGCGAGGCCCAGGTAAATCAATCACGTATCTGCATTTCCCATTTCTACTCAACATGGGCACTATTTGAAATTCCCTATCCTGTCTAAGATTTTTGCCGTTCATTCCTTAAGGACATTTTTTGAAACTTTTAGTTCTCTGAGGAGGTGCTCATCTCCCATCCTAATCCATTTATTCTCTAATACTGAAACACAGCAAACACCAAATACCATTCAGTGTGTCCACACCTTCTCTTGCATATGCAGGAGAGTATTCTGAAAGAATGTTCCCTTGTAAGACATGGACTCTAGTCTTCCTCCTGTGGGCCCAGCCCAGCCCCCACGGAGGAGAGCCCTGTAGAGAGGAAAGCCACAGGACAGGTTAAGTAACTGCCTCAGTGCTTTTTTGAGGCCAAATGGGGTCGGTAAGCTTTATGGGTTCTCAGGGGAGATCACTGTGTGCTAAAATGGTTAGGAAAAGCTTTCGGAGGAGGTGGGACGGTAATAATGTTAAAACGGTAGGCTAGCTGTTCAATGAGGCTCTCACAGTACTGGGTACATGTTCAACAATTCTTATCTTCAAATGCTAGATAATCAATTGTTCATCTTTTTTTGGTCCCACAGATTCAACAAATGTCCCCTAGACTAGAGGGCCACTTGAGAATCTCAACCTATAGTTCTAATTTTTAAACAATTATAAAACACATGACAAAATAAAATCAAACCATCTCTTTTTCCTCCTTATTCTAAATTTAATTTCAGACACCACAGCTTGTCTTAGACTTCTTAATCACTGAGAAACACAATGTTAGTCATCCTTGCCTTAAAGTAACATTAGTAATATTTACTGAGTACTTACTATGTGCCAAGAACGGTGCTAAATGCTTTAAAATATTGTCACAACCAAAGTAGGGCCTGCCACCCTCAATTTACTACTGGGGAGACAGGCTCAGGGAAGTGAAGAACTTGCCCAATATCTCAGTAAGTGACAGCATCAGGATGGTAAACTTTGGGCTACCTTATCCCCAAATTATGACTGCAATACTGCCTTCTTACAATCTTGAAATCATTTTTCCTACTTCTATCACTCACTATTGAAACCAAACTTTACGAGTCCAATTTGGCAAGGCCTTTTTCTTTCTTTTCTTCTTCTTTTTAAATACTAAGCAATTTTATTTAAGACTCTTGAAATTTCTTCTAATAGAATTTAGGTCCCATAAGGAAAACTTCATCTCATAAATGCTGCAGCTTGATGGCATGTACTGAATTCTGTTGACTATCAGGGTTTCAAATACATTTAGATTTGAAAAGCACTGGGTAATTCAGGCAGCTAACCTTATTCCGAGCATCACCATCTTCACATAAACCATGAGACAACCAAGCCACAGAGATGCACTGAGGGTTATGAATCTAGCCCAGGTGGTATCAGAAATGCTGCTGTACACTAGTCTCCTCTCAAAGCGATCTTCCTAGAAATAAAATGTCTCTTCCCACCAGGAAGCCTGACTCCAGAGTCTCAGCTCCTACCACTAAGCTATAATGTCTCCTTTCAACATCTGATTCCTCAGATGTGCCCAAGGATGTACTGTTCACAAAGGCTTTTAACCTACATCTCGCACTTGAATCTTCAACAGCCCCAAGAAGCAGGTATCACTGGCCTTGCTTGGCAGACAAGGAGGTAGAGGCTGAGAGCGAAGTGGCACTGTGCTGGTCTTTGGCCTCCCGGTTCTGTGCTCTCCCCACCACACCATGGCCACCTCCAGCCAGGTGGCAATCATTTGCCTGTGATGGTGATGGAGCAGATGGATCGACCAGACATATAAATCTACCATTTGCAAGAAGCTAATGCACCTGTCAAAGTAAATTATTTTCTTCTTTTTCAGAGATGGAATCTGGCTCAGATCTTTAGACCCAATAGAATGAATATTAGCTATTCCTGTATGTAAATTAAGTAATAACCCCTTAAGTTCATACACAACTCTAATGTTCTAAATGGTTTCCGATCAAAGTATCAGGAAGCCTACAAAGCCAATTTTAGCTCCATAATGAATTTCAGAGCTTCTCTGAAGTTCTTCAAGTAGGAGAGTTAGCCAGGGTAATAGCAGTCTTTCTGAAGGGACCTGCTCTGCTCCTGAGAGGAGGAAAGGTACGAGGAAAGAAAAAAAGTTAAGAGTCAGGTTGTCAGGGTTAGAGTTCCTGCCCTACCATCTATACGTGTACAAGCTGTTATGAGTCATTTAACCTGGGTCTCACTTTCCCAAATTATAGACATATTCCTCCTTTACACAGTAACACAAAACGGGCAGGTCTAAAGGAAGGCCCATTTCCCTATTTCTAATTCAGGACTTTGTGACATTGAGCCAAATCACTGAAGTTTAGGGAAATAAAGAAAGAAAAGAAATGTTGCACTGTCACAAATTTAGGGCAACTGTGGGAAACAGTAAAAGATTCAAGGATCAGTTGTTTGGTTTTTTTAAAAACCAGGAGCTAAGAACACCATGTGTATGTTACAGGGCGCTGTCATATGTTCAGTCCACTGCTGGGGTCTGCACCGAGAACAGCTTGTTAAGTGCCTCAGCCAACATCATGAAGGTTGTGGGTCAAGCTAAAAAATATGGAGAAAACCAGAAATATCTGGCAGCCATACCTTTCAGTTCTGCTCTCCTGGTGGCCTTTCAAAGCTATTCAATAGCCAGCAAATATCCCAAATATTATAGCTCTCTTGAAGATAGAAATTTTCCTACTTTTAGGTTTGGGGCAGCAGTTGTAGCCCTGGGAGCTTTTTTGGTGGTGGTGCTGGGGGTGATATTAGGACAATTCATTCTGATGGTAGAAAATTGCAGGCATGGGACTTACAGTTACCTCTCAAAATGATGAGTTTTGTCTACTGTGCCTCAGTAAGCAGTCAATAACAGCTGTGGCAAAACTGTGGCAAAGAATGACATCTGTAATCATAGGTGAACATAAAAAAGATGGTATGATTTTAGTTCAAGATATGTTCTCTTCTTCTTAAACTCAAGATTTTTTCTATAATGGGAATAACAAATGTTCAGAGCAAAAAAAATTAAAGGGAACTGGAGGATTGAAATGAAAGTTCAAATCTCCACTTATCCATGGTCATCAGTGCCACTCTCCAGTGACATCTCTAATACCATCCATATCTCTAATATCATGTAGATGATATTAGAGATGTTTCTTGTGAGTCCTGAAAATTCTCTATTCATATCTATCTAGCTGAAACATTACCAAAAATTCTGGCTTTAAATATACATATATTTAAACATCTTTTCATGTCAATATGTAGATCTATTCTTTTCAACAACTATCTGGTACTTAGTTACGTGAATATACCATAATTTATTTAACTAGTCCCTATTTATGAGCATTTAGAGTACTCCACTTCTTTGCTATTATAAACATTGCTGCAAAAAACATCCTTGCTTACCCTTCTTCATGCTTGAGGGAGACTATCCTGTAAGTGAATAAATTTCTGTAAGTAGAAACAGTAGGTAAAAGGATATGCACATTCATTTTGATAGGTCTTGCTAAAGTGTCCCCCATAAAGGGGACAATTTAAACCCCTACCAACAGAATATAAATATGTCTCCTTCCCAATACGTTGCCGCTACTGGGTATCATGAAATGTTTTAATCTTTAGATAGTTATTTCTAATATTCTCAAAAATGTCTCTTTTACTTTCACTGCATACAGGCTGGATGATAAAGAATATAAGACATTCAAGAAATAACTAGTTCTGTTAAAGAATGCTGAAAAGTTTAACACTTATATAGATAGTTCTTGAACCATCTGAAATGAACTCCTGTTATAATGTGACTGTTGTGTTATTATTATTTAATTAACCCTCAAGTTGGCAAAACAAATTGACAGTGTGTTTCTTCTCCCTGATAAGCTTGACTTGGTCAGAGAACCATCGCAGACAGATTCCTTTCTCCCCTGAGCAGAGCTGTTCCATGATTACTTTTCTTATTGACATGATTAATAACAACATGAACATTTCCCCAAACTGGAACATTTAAATTAAGTTCGTTTAAACTGGCCAAAGCAGAACTATTAACTACATACTTTCCCATTAAATGGAGGAAAGGAAATTACATTAGTTACACATGAGCATCCATTTAACTTATTTGTCAAAAGGAAAAAAAAATGAACCAATTAACTTAGAAATTATAGTAGGAAAGATCTACTATTTTAACACTCTGCCTGATTTACTGAGTTTTACTTTAAGAGAGAAGTTCTCAATTTTTTCTGCCAGGGCACGATGAATAATGAGTATCTGCCTGAAACACCTCAGCAGGGAGTGACAATGAGGATGATAACAACACCTATAGTGATGGTTCACATTATCAAGCATCTATTATATGCTTTACCCTGTTCTAAGCATTTCACATTTGTTATCTCATTTAATCTTCACAATAACATGCAGTAGTACGTAGTCTGACTTTTTCCATTTACAGATGAGGATATCGAGGGTAAGTCACTTTCCCGAGGTCATCCTGGTGCTGGTAAGTGCTGGAGCTCCAGCTTCTACACTCATACTCTCAGCCTCAACCCACAGCACTCCCTGTCCAACCCCTTTCC